CAGCTGTTTCACTACCTACCCCATAGATCAGGTGAACAGAAGATGGTGTAGAAACTCCTATCAAATCCCATCTACTGTTTTTTGGTCAAAGTTCTTGGCCTACGGCCTACTTGACAGAAGGATTCTTTTGAGGTTATGTTTAATGTCATAACAAGGATGGACGTCATAACATTTCTGGTACAAGCGGTGTGTAAGTACCGTTTTCTGTTTTCTTTCATGAAGGAAATCTGTAAAAAGTGTCGCCATCTTGCGGACAACTGAGAACTAATATGCCATTATTGCGGAATCTGCGGTCATGCGTGCTGGGAGAAACGAAACACTGTGATTACACCAAATTCTATCCACTTTGCCCATAGATGAACATTCTTTTCTACTTTTCATTTATTAGTGTAATTTTTGAAATATTCATGTGTACGACGGCGTGTTGGTGCCACATAAAAAAATCATCTCAAAATTTCGGGAATATAATCTTGATAATTTGGGTAAAAAATGTTGAAATTTCGCGAAAATTTAGAAAGGAAAAAGTCGAAATTCCCTAGCGCCTTTTATTCTGAATACGACCTCATTTAGTAATAAGGTTCAGGGGTTGACTACCAATGATCTTATACAAGCACAAGCACCTGATGAATAACTGTGAAATACATGTTGATAATACAATATTTAAACAAGGATTAAACCTTCTGAACACAAAAATCAGCAAAGGCACGTTGAGACGACTTGACAATGCGCGATGACTATAGGTAGGGTCCCTTGATGGAAATTGACATTAAAGTCATCTTAACAGGGTAAAGACAGATCATAGCTGCATTCTTTTTTAATGATCTAGAGACTTTAGTTTTATCTACTGGCATCCCTGACATTGCTGTCACGTCACATCCATGGGCGCTACAGAAAATCATTCGAAATTTCAATAATAGGTATGTACAGGGTATTTAATTGTTGAGGAAGATCATGTGGCGAACAAGTTTTGTGGTGAAGATCCGATTCTATTCAAAATTGATTTCTGGCGGTTTCCGGGGTAAGAGATAATGATTGTTCTGTCAAAATTGAAAAATCCAAGATAACGGATCCATTAGTTTATATAATTACTACTCTATCACAAATAATAGGAAATATGTAGGATGCAAGAGTGAAAATAACGTGCCTATAAGTTATAGTGCGTATACCTACTTGTTTGTTACTCTCATCAATAAATTATTTGAAAATGACTTTCTATTTAAGGAAGACGGCAGAATCATTTGTATAACATGAGGGTGACGTATATTCTATTCTTTATTTGCCTGCACATTTTACGAATAATTTTTTATCAGCCTACTTTTCGTCCTAGACGAAGTTTTATACATATTTGATATTAGTCACTCCATAAATTCTTCGAGTTGTATTTCCGAAAATATATTTCATTTTAGATATTCACATCGAGGTTTTCACCATTTTTCAATCATAAGGCTCAGCTCATTCAGCTCATAGACAAACTACTGCTCAGTTTGAAATCAGAATTCATTCAGTCAATTCAGTCAACCCTTGTATACAGCCTAAGAACAGTCTCTTTTGGTGAAATATATTGAGCTGTCAGTAAAATTTATATGTTTCCTTAGCTACCTCTCAAAAATTATTAAAGTTCGATGCAATGCAATTTTGAATCGAACAATGCGCATGCGTCTATGATGTTTCACGGCAAGTTTCATGCAAGTTTCGTAATAGAACCAGTCCTATTTTTCCTGCAATTTCAAGGCAAATTTAGTAAAATTTGTAGTAATATTCATCGTAGCATCTTGATAAAATACTCATTTTCTCCATAACGTGGCCTGAAACACCAAATAACCTCAAAAAGTACATTGAAGGCTCAAAAAACCTGGAAATAGTGAATATGAACAAGAAAATATGACAGAAATATCTCAATGTACGACGACTCGCAATAAATTGAGAAAAATTGCGAGAAAATTGCATTGCCTCGAACTTGCCGAGAAATAGCATAATGTACGGCGCCCTCATAACTAGAGGATTGTTCATCTATATTTTGGTATAGTTGAATCAGGAATTCCATATGGAAATTACGTATGATACGCCAGTGACCTCAATATAACCTAAAAAACCACAAATGCCAAAAATCTAGTGTTTATCCCCAGAAATGAATAAAGATGGAACTATATAACTGTTTCACAAACACTTTAGAGTGAGAGGAGACGAGGATCTGTCCGTACCCTGTAGAGATGACAAATACGTCAGTTTACATCAAGGGACCCTAACTATAGGTAACTCTGAATATCTCATTTAATGCATGCTTGCTTGAAATGCATCAAAATAGGTTCGGGAGTTCCACAGGAGTGCATTATATTCTCAAGATTTTGACATCATCTAAAGATTTCGATATAATTTTAAAATTTCTAGATTATTTCGTCAGTTTTTTGTCTAATAATTTCCTATTCAAAGAATTTTGGGATCTTGATCTTGTTCAATGTGTCACCAGTATAGTTCAATTTTGAAACATTTAAAATACCGTATCTTCGTGTTTGTAGCCACTCCAGCAAACTAGCTGTCACCTGTCACTATCACGTCAAGCGGAAATTTTTTAAAATTTTTTCAGTAATAGTCTAATAGTTTGAAAAGTGTGTATTTAAAATTTCTCTTCATGATGATAGGTACTTTTCAATTAATGAGTGGTACTTTAAGCAAATTACATAAAGTTTTGTGGAACGTTTTCTAGAATAATTAACCAAAGGGTGAGTATTAAACATTCAACTTGCCATATTTCAAGTTCCAGATTATTCAGAAATTTTTAATAATCATCATAATGATGAAATGATCATAATCTTACAAATAACGGCGGATTTATGTTCTCATAATATTATTTTCGGAACATGTAAACAACAAATCATCAACAATTCTATCAAAGAAGCATGCGCCGAATCCACATAACATATACACAGTATAAGCATAAAATTTCAAATTAATCAACATTCAAGGTCGTTTCTTAGGCTTGTGCTTATGCTCAAGACTAAAATTGATGTGTTAACAGCCTCATGCAAGTACGGGCGTGTTTTTCATTCCATTGAAGAAAGTGCGCACTGATAGATGCGGTTTTTTGCTGGAAGGATTGAACAATGGTTTATACAACACATTGATGGAAACACGGATTTTGTTGTTTGTCAGTCATCATGTATCTTGAGAATCAGAAAAGGCTAATTCGACTTTATTGATTAAAACTGACTCTTTCTTCTAAAATCTCTCAAGAATCTCAAAAATCCTCAATTTTAATTGTTTTCTATCAAATCAAAACAAAAAACAACACTAAAATGTGTCAACTGTCATGTCGATCTCCTCCAAACTGCTGGATTCTCGAAATGCGATTTAAAAGTGCGCATTTTATTACAACAGTTTGATGGATGTCCATCAACATTCCAGCGGAATTTTGCAACAGTTTGATGGTTTCTTCGATTCATGCGCATGATAAAATGTTGGAATGAAAAACGACTAGCGTCTGCGGACAGGCGCAAGTAATAACTCAGTGGTAGGGGAACGTTAGTTAACTTGTGTCGAGTCTAATATAAGGAAGGAATTTTTTTTTTAACAATCAATCGACCTAGATGAACCTTTTTTCTTGAAGAAGGAGAATTTTTCTTGAGGAAGGAAAATATTGTTTCTGCATAAAAAATGAGAAAACCTAACCTATCTATTTTATGAGTATATCTGTAATACTTGTTTCGTTGACCTGTGTAAAACTTGATGTTTATATTAACACCAAATAAAATATTCTAGAAGGAGAATTTTTCTTGAGGAAGGAAAATATTGTTCCTGCATAAAAAATGAGAAAACCTAACCTATCTATTTTATGAGTATATCTGTACTTGTTTCGTTGACCTGTGTTTATTAACACCAAATAAAATATTCTATTCTATTCTAACCTAACCTAACCGAACCTCACCTCTGGCCTATACATAGAAAACCCCTAAATGAACCTATTTCCCATAGAGAATATTTTTAAAAGATGAGCCTCGCGCACGGATTCAAACCCCGGCCCGCCGGCTTGACATGCCGATGCTCTGCTTACTGAGCCAACCAGTTGCTTACGAGACAAAGTATGATGGAGTCAGTCAGTCGGCGCCGCATAACTTGAGTCGCATCTACTGCCCACTATAACGGTCTCCCACCACGGAGTTATTACTTGCGCAGACGCTAATTGAAAAACGCACCCTACCTTGTTTCAAGACTTTGATTAGGACTTTGCAAATGTTGCATAAATCCACCATAAAATTATGGTTATTACAGAAACGGGTGATGATCGATCAGCAGGAAAACTATAGTAAGTGGCAATAAATAAGTGACCCCATATACAGGGTGTCCCGAAATTGGCCTGCCAAACTTCACCAGCGGCTTCTACGACCAAAAATGGGAAGACAAGTTGATGAACATGAGTCGAGCTACGGCCCCCTGGAAGGGGGCTCCTGAAGATGATATTGAATATTTCCGAAACGCCATGTGATTAAATGATGTAATCCAGTACAAGAACTCAACTTTCCATGCCCAATGCAGTGAAAATAAAATCATTTCATAATATCATTCAGGAGTGTATAATACAGGGTGGGACTACATTGAATATTGCTCAAACTTTTTTGTATGAAGTTTTCGACATTTTGTCATTTCACTGAATGGCATCATATTTCATCGCATGACGTTTCGGAATTCTTTAGGAAATATCATCTTCAGGAGCTCCCTTTCAGGGGGCCGTAATTCCCTTGGGAGACATATCTTGATTCTTTTGGTCGTAGAAGCCGCTGGTAAAGTTTTTCAGGTTAATTTCGGGACACCCTGTATATCTAAGTCTATTTCAAAGTCTGCACTATTCAATGCAGCAAGTTCCTTTCTCTTCTTTCATTAGTGTTTCAACTTGTTTGTAGTACTGTTTTCATAATAATATGGAGTATGTAAGTGGTAGAGTGCCATTAAAAAAAATCAGTTTATTAATAATATAATTTAATCAAACAGTACATGCAATTGAATCTATCATAAAAGCATATCACAGTTCCTTGGTAGCATCATTTATCATTTGTTGGGACTGTTCCCACAATTTAATTCCTACATTATCATAAAAAATTGCCTTACTATTATAGGGCTTACAGTCTCTATACAACAGTCCAGTTTCATTTTCAATTGAAGATTCAGTAGCACAATAGATAGGAGTTTGTGCACCCTAAAAAAAAAGACATAAGTATTATGTTCATCAATGAAAAGAACAATATAGCTGAAAGATTTAGGTAGGTCTGGAGGTAGGTACATAAAAATATGTAAAAAATTGGTTTTTCTATTTTGCATCTTCAATGAAGTCAACATGACACCCACATGCATATCCAAAAGTATCAAAAACTCAAAACAGCCTCTATTAGGACCTGCTGAATTTCTTGTTTCAAAGTTGGTAATGGTAACGTCAACGTTAAACTGTCAAACACACTAGCGTCTAGAGACAGAAGACAGAATGCAACAAATAACTAAAACCTAAAACATTATTATACAGATATCTTGAGCATTTATCATTATCATAGTAAGTTTTGTTGGGCTGCTATTGATACAAAATTATGCCCATTAGTCTGATTATTTAAGTAATTGTTTGTGCTATGCGACAGCCAGGTAGAGGTATCAGAATGTGTTGTAGACGTTGAAGGCCGAGAAGAAAACATTTGAGCTATCTCCCTCAATTATTCCACACAGAAGCTATTAAATATGTAACCTTCAGCAACTGCTGAGGATTTCACTGCCTCTATTTGCTAAATGGGATACACTAGAACGCAGAAAACAATTAATAATAATATTCTGCAATGATTTTTGACATTTTTCAATTATGTTAATTGTATTTATGCATTAACCATTGTGGTATATCGATCAACAAGAAGCGTTTACATTTACATATTGTGATGGTATATGTCCACCATTCATGATAATAAATAAGCGTACGCCTCCTATCGGAATTTTTCATAGCTGTCTAGTTTATTGTGCCACTGAACTATTTTTGAATTCAGCAAGGAGTCAAAATTAACGATATTACAAATTATATCAAAATAAATATATCTCATAATTTCATTTAAAAATTCCACAGGTTAACAGTCATTGACATTTATGACAGACATATCATCACATCATTATAACATCGAAAATAGTTCAGTGGCGAAGAGTAGATGTTAGACAAGGAAATATTTATCAAATCTCTTTATATTTCAATGCGGCCACGTTGGTAGCACTAAAGAGAAAGATGGAAGAAGAAGAACTTTCCTCTTTCTCGTTCAAGAGAGCTGTTTTCATTGGTTCACATTTGATTTTGCTTTTGCTGATTGGTCATATCATCAAAACAAACCGCTCAGAAGTGTTCATGTTGTCGCCGTCAGATGGGGCGACGTGATATTTTCTATAGGAATACCTACTTGGGAATTGTAGAATTCCTTTTCATAAGCAGAATCAGGGTTCTTGGCCAACAAATCATGTATATTGTATAGTGTATAGCCATTAGAGCAAATTCCCTTAGTTCAAGAGCCTCTTCAGTCATCATCAAAAAGAGTACAAATGAATGCAAAATAGAAAAAATAGTACATTTGCTGGTCTCCAAACAAACAAACAAATAATATACTATTTTGAGGATTGACAAAAAATTGTGATGTCTATTTATAAATATCTACCTACCTTTGTTTATTATCAACATATCTAATGAGTGAATTCTAGAACAATTCCTCCATATTTTTGGTTTCTGATTCTGAATTTAGCATTAACTGAGTTTCTTACCTGCTTTGCACTCCTCATGAAAAAAAATGCCACAGGTGCTATCAATATGTAATGATACCACTTTAAAGAATGCCTGAATAGCCCAGTATACACCCAACCAGGACAACAAGCATATACTCTCACATGATTGGATTCAATTCTTCTAGCCAATTCTTGTGCAAAATACACATTTGCTAGCTTTGAATTTGCATACAAATTGGTTTTCTTTGTAGAATGCAAGTGATTTAGATCAGACAAGTTTATTTCACCTCTTTCATGCAGAGATGATGCTACAACTATGACTCTACTGGGTGCAATTGACAGCAGTTTAAGTAATAGACTGGTTAGGTAGAAGTGTGCCAAGTAGTTTACTCCAAAGTGTATCTCAAATTTATCTTCCGTTAGCATCCTTTGGCTATTTGGAAAAGATACTCCTGCATTGTTGACAAGTATGTTGATTTCTTCATGATTCTTGTTCACTTCTTCTGCAAAGTTCTTGATTGATTTTAGAGATGCAAGATTCACTTCCATAGGAATCTGCAGTAAAGAGAAACAACCTAATACCTACTTCTGACCTGACATTAATTTCTTACCAAAACAGCTTGATCACTTTTGAGCTTTGCATGTATCTGAAGACATGCTTCCCTAGCCTTTTCTAGAGTTCGACAAGCCACAATGACATGGGCTTTTCTCTGAGCAAGTTCTCTGGCAATTTCGAAACCTATACCTGAATTGGCCCCAGTGACAATCGCAGTTTTGCCGTCCAGCTGCACATTGTTTTTGCATTTGCCCCATTTCGATTCTCTGACTTTTCTGATGATGAATAGCAGCAGAAAGGTGGGAAGTATGTAGTAAGATAGTGGAAACGCCATTTCAAATATGGTAACGTTTACTTCATTTTACGGTTATTTGAAAACAATTCAATATATCACGGCCCTGACCTCTGACAGATTACAAATTAAAATTTTGATTTTTGAATAAATTATAGTAAGCAGTCATGTCAAAGTTAATACGCAATGTTCGATTGGGACAAGATGGTGATGATTGATGACAAGTTATTAGAAAGTGAAGATGAGCAAGAGCAAGAGGAGAAAATGACAACGGACCATTGGAAAAAAGAAGAACACAATCTTGTGACATAACCTCCAAATTTATTTAAAAATGTCGGTCGATATGGATCGACGTTGACGTGTACACTTGAATTTTCTTTAAAATGAGGCCTTCTCTCAGTTTTTTGCTGATATGTGTGTTTTTCTTCTTCATTTTGAAATCAATATACAGTCTGATTGGAATTTTCCAATCGCCAACTTGTAACAAAGGAGATGTATGTTACAAATCCTTCCTGAATTCAAAACCTAAACTTGACCTCTTTGTTTTTGTTTCTGATAATTCAAGATCTGGCAATTTTGACGAAATACTGCACCAACATAACTTCGATTATACATCACGCTTCGAACGGTAACAATTTCTTATTTGGCATTAACTTTTTGTGTAACTCTGTCACCTTTTCAGAGAAGTACCTTTAGAGATTTCTAAAACTACCAGAAACAATGGTAGTATCTTTATTCACACGATCCTTGTGCCCAGTAAATCGAACTATGAAGATATCAACCTAGAAGATCTTGTAAAAGTACCAGAATCTACTTATATCAAAAATAGATTGACAAAATATGCTGTTCCAAGTAGTGCAACGTTCAACTTGCTCAATGAACAGGCAAGACAAGCTGCCCTAGTGAGGCCAGTAACTCATCTACGTTCCAAATATGCTGTGATAATGTGTACTGACAACTTAGACATTCCTCATTCTGATATCCCTATGGAAATCATGAGACATTTGAGAATCAATAGAAATAGAGAGTTTTTGCCAATTGCTCAGGCAGACCTTTTGAACATGAGACTCAGAGAACTTGTGGAAATCACTCCAGAAACCAGAAACTTGAATTTCACTTACCATTATACTCCTACTTCTTTAGGGAAAATGAGGTTTTTGCTTCAGATTGAAGCAACTCTTCATCAGTTCTTGGAATTAGGATTCACAGAAAAGGATTTGGATGAAGTTAAAGGAGTTTTTGCTGATACAAATTTATATTTGTTATGTGCTACACTGTGCATTGGTAGTATTCATGTAGGTCTCCAAAATGATTATCAAAAGATATTGATTTGAATGCCTCTTCTTTTAGCTTCTCCTTGATTTCTTGTCATTCAAAAATGATGTGAGTTTTTGGAAGTCTCAAACTTCCATGGCAGGACTTTCAACTAAGACAGTATTATGGAGAGCTTTCTCTCAGACTATTGTTTTTCTATATTTGCTTGATGAAGGCACTTCTCTCTTGGTTTTGGTGCCTAGTGGTATTGCCACAATAATAGAGGTCAGTAGTATCAGAAAATCATATGGTATACAGGGTGTTTCATAATACATAAGGACTCAGGACTACAGGATGTGATAACTCCTCCAAAAGTATGAAAAATAGTTTCAATAAACTTAACCTATAAAATGCCTTTTTCCCATATAATAAGCTAAGTATTGTGAGGAATCTTATTTTATGTTGAAAAACTGAATTTTTTGAAATGAATTGTATATTCTAATTGAAAAAAAAAATATTTCAATGTTAGAACAAGCAACAAAACCAAACACTAACTTCATAATTGCAAAATTTAAAAAGAATAATAACAAATCATACATAAGGGTCTATACTGTGATCATACTAACATACAGGGTGATCAGAAATCTGAATTTTCAACCACCCTGTATTCGTTTCAATTAAATGTCAGTAGATAATAAATCAAAAGTTAAGATAGGGACATAAAAACCGTTTTGGCCAATACTGAATAGTTTCTACACAAAAAATTCCTTAAGTTGAAAAAATCTCAAATTTTCACACCCCATATCTATGTAATCATTTCAGCTAGACCCCAACTGTGATAGATTGATGAAATCAGCTCTTCAGAGAGAATCTAAAAATGCAATGAAATACAGGGTGATCCATTTAAAAATGTATACATCTTGTCCATTACTTTTTTTTGAGATGTTCAATTGATAAAAAAAAAATTATAAAAGACTGTTCTTTGGAAGAAAAAATTCGATGATAAATAAAATAGTTAAGGGAGGGGGGTTCAAAATATACGTGAAGACCCTGTACACAGCGTAGAATTTGTGGAGAAAAATACCCACTGCCCCTTCAAAATCTGGACCAATTATGACTTGAAAAACACACAAAACATAGGTTATTATGAGTAGAAAATCCTCATGGAAGCTGTTTTCTGTGCGATAAACGGTTCCAGAGATATTCACAATTTCCTTTTTCAAATTTCAACACCCTGTATCTCGAAAATGGATCATTTTAGATTATTTTAGAAGGTAAATTGATAGGAACTATTGTTCATATTTTTGGATGAGCTATCACATCCTGAAGTCCTGCTCATATATTATGGAAGAACACCCTGTATAAGGATCATCATAGCAACATATTTCTTTCAGTTTTGGAAAGTAAGCAAAGTATTCAAAACCACGATCTCTTGGACAGGCCTGAAATTCAATACTAGCGAGAAAGAAACAAATGATGAGAAAAAAACTAGAGAATATGATGAGGAATGTATGAAATATTTGAGTTTTGTGTTGTACCCTTTGTGTATTGCAGCTGCTGTATACTCTTTGTTGTATCAACCTCACAGAAGGTGAGTTATCTGATTCCTCAAATACATTGTGTTTAATCTTGATGGTATTAGGCTCAACCTAAGAGACCTTGAGCCAAATATCAATTTCAATTTGTGGTTTAATCTTAATTATGTTGGGTCAAAGCAAATTAAGATCATGTTCAATCTAAATTGCAGTGGAGCCAAATCTTAACGACATTGGGTTTAATCCCAATTACACAGGGTTTAATCTTAACGGTATTGAGGTCAATCTTAATTACATTGGGTTTAATCTTAACGATATTGCGGTTAATCTTAATTACATTGGGTTTAATCTTAACGATTTTTTTATCCTTGCAAAATATTGAGGTGGATTCTCCTATTTTTGTATTTCAGTTGGTATTCTTGGACGATAAACAGTCTGGTGAATGGAGTGTATGCTTTTGGGTTTCTCTTTATGCTGCCCCAACTATTCATCAACTACAGATTGAAATCGGTCGCTGCGTTGCCTTGGCGCGCATTCACCTACAGGGCGTTCAACACGTTCATCGACGATATTTTCGCATTCATCATCACTATGCCCATGGCTCACAGGGTGGCCTGTTTCAGAGATGACATTGTTTTCCTCGTTTATTTGTACCAAAGATGGTAAGCAAAACATGACCTTGACTTAAAATCCAATACTTTCAGCCCTTGTATAATGAATAACTATTTTTATGCGGGAGTGAAGGTTTTTTTATATTAATGATTAGATTTTTGGATGTATGACAAATATTGATATTTATCATACAGGAGGTGGAAAGAAATTCTGAATTGAGAAAACCTATACAGGAATCTGATTGAAAAGGAATATTCTCAGATAAATTATATGAACATGAAAAAATGGATGTTCAACAGTAGTTATTTTCTGTTGAATGAACAGAGAGAGAATTGATATTGTGATCACATAGAGAATGCGATTTCTAAATGTATTTCTTGTATCCATTTTTACATGTTCATTGTTCATAATTTATCGGAGACCATGCCTCTTCAATTATTGATTAGAATTGGTAGTTTTTAAAATTTTGTGATTTTTGCTTTTTAGGTTGTATCCTGTGGATAAAACTAGAACTGATGACATTACTGGAGAGATTATCCCAGGAGATGAGGTCAAAAATAAAAAGAAGGACCAATAATTTATTATTGTTGTGTTTGTGTGTTCGTTTTTTATTTAATTAAAGTTGGAAGTATTCATTTTGATAATTTTGTTTTCAATAAAATCCTATCAACAATAATTTCTGGGCCATAGTAATCAAATAAAAACATAAACTAATATGTCTACATTTGTGATAATCATTTTTCTCTTTTCATAAATGTCCTGAATTTAAATAATTTTTGATATTCCTTCATATTCAGCACGTTTATATGATACAGTCTAAGGAATATCCCCATGTTATCAGATTTTTTCTAATAAACGAACAATTTCGTCCCAAAAGTTGAACTAAATACGAGAAAAAGAAAAAGTACACCACTTTAAAATAATTTAAATGATTGAACTACGCGTTTTTGTGCCTACCACATGGAAATTTGAACAGAGGTGACGTCAGATTCGCTACAGTGTAGAACTTTGGGAGGAAAAAAGGGTCTATCTAACCTAAAATTTTATTTTGATTCCTATATTTTTTTTATCAGTATCATTCGATCATATACGTATTAATAATCAATACGGATAATCTCTATCTGTTTCCATAGCGAAACATGAAGCCGATTTTTGAAGACAAATGACTATCCATAAGGAAAAGTTTTGAAACGATCAGACACATACTGCTTTGATTGAAAGGCTAGTAAACGTCATTGTCCACCGAAACGCATGTCTTTGATGACTACTATAATAGCGCATGGCGCATGCGTATCATGCCACCAAATCCTTATGGATATTCATTTGTTCCATATTTTTGGCTTCATCCTGGCACCCGTTATGATCCGTATTGTTTATTAATACGTATATGCATTCGATAGTACATGTCGAGCTTTCTCATCAGTGTTTGAAATATTTGCACTTATTTCAATGCCACCCTGTATGTTCTATTGTAAGTGAACTATTCAGATTGATGGCTTAAAAAACAATCAATGAAATAATACTCATACAGCATTGACGACCTACACTGTATTCTATTATACAGGGTTATTCAAGTTTATTCGACACCAAGCATATTAATTGTGGCAAAAGCATTTAGTTTTTTGACGTTTTTTTTTTAGGATGAATAGGGACCTATCAGTGCTACATTCATGTTGTACAGGGTGTGCCAAAAACACTTTGATACATAAAGTTGCTATTTTTCAAATGGGAAATGTTGTATATCTAGATTCTCCCCTGAAGAGCTGATTCCATCGATCTATCACACTTGGGGTCTAGCGGAAATGATTACAGAGATATACAGGGTGTTTCATTACTAATTGGAAATATTTCAACTATAGAATCCCGAACTCAAAATATGAAGATTAAACCCAAATCACCTAGATAAAATATGTCTCCTGTTTGAGTTACAGGGTGTTTTATTCAAAAATTTTGAAATGTTTTTTGCCCAGTTCTTCAAAACTATATGACGACGTATCACTTTGATATTTGGAGGGAAGTGTAGGTATCATGCACCCAACTGACTTATGTGAAATGCACTTTTCCAGCTATTACCAGAGGCGTACGACAGGGGTAATTAATTGGTTGATCGCTCCCAAATTCTACGCCACTGGCGGAATTGTAATTCTATCGCAAATTTTCGATTCTCCAACAATTTTAACGTAGATATTGTACTTTTTCTCCATGGCGATAAAGTCATTATTTTTCGAGATATTTCAAGTTAAACATAAATCTGCACAATCATTTTGATCTCAAAATGTGCATTAATTTTGTCAATATTTTGGATCAATGGATTGTATTCATCAATAAAATGAAACTTCAATCCATATCAACAATAAAAACATAATAACATAACAGATAGGAGCTGTTACAGGGTGTTTAATTATGTAATATATTAAAAAATTCAAAACGCCCTGTAACAGAGCTCCCGTCTGTTATATTTTTATGTTAATATGGTGAAGTTTCATTTGATTGATGAATGCAGTCCATTGATTCAAAATATCGACATTATTGATACACATTAACATCAAAATAATTGTGCTGCTTCATGTTTAACTTGAAATATCTCGAAAAATTTGGGAAGGATCAACCAGTCACTTGCCCCTGTTGTACGCCTCTGGTAATAGCTAGAAAAGTTCATTTCACATAATTCAGTTGGATGTATAATACCTACACTTCCCTCCAAATATGAAAGTGATACGGCGAATGGTTTTGAAGAACTGGGCAAAAAACATTTCAAAATTTTTGAATAAAACACTCTGTAACTCAGGTGATTTGGGTTAAATCTTCATATTTTGAGTTCGGGATTCTATGGTTGAAATATTTCCAATTAGTAATGAAACGCCCTGTATACAGGGTGTATCTAAATAACACCGAGAGAATTCAAGGGGTGATTCCTCGTGATATTTTAGGAAATAAACTTCATATAAACATTTGTTCCAACTTGCTTCGTTTTCGGGATACAGGATACAGTAGGGTATTAAAATTTTCATGAAACATTGTTTTTTTATTCATTACTCAATTGTCTTTCCATAAATTTTTATAAAACGTTGTGGTTTTGTTAATGTTAACATGGAGCTTATTCTGGTGCAATAAAATTAGATTTGAAATAATATTTCCAGTGGCGTCACAGTGGGTAAATTCATCGATATTTATGGTGAATGTCATTGTACGATACCGGTTTTTCTGAGTTTCATATTTTTATTAGATTGAACTATTGAAATAACATATTTCTTATCCTATGTGTAATTTTCGAATCTAGCTTAATTTTTGAGGAAACAATAAAAATTCGATTTGACTCCAAATTTTAATCATCATCCTGTATCTCAACACGGAGAAAAATAGATAGCAGGTATTACCAGAATTATTGTACAGTTTACCAAAATGTCTGGTACTATATGTGAGCAATAAAAAATAGTAAGTATTATGATACAAATTACATGGGAGAAATATAGTCGGGATTTTTCAAATTTTCAATCAATCAATCAATCAATCAACTTTATTATTCCCAAGAAACAACATTTGTTCATAGCAGGGAACATAGTGAATACATAAATATATATGACAAAATAAAATAAAGAAGACAATAAGACTCACACTCAAAAAAAGAATCTTTTTTTTTTTCAAATGAAAATGATCCTCAATTGACTCAACTGTTAGGTACACAATTGAAAACTATATATTATTGGTCAAACCGGCTTACATCTTACATCTCTCTATCTCACCTTTCGATTTACTATCACTGACATTTGATTGGAACAGATACAGGCTGATGGTTCAAGATTCAGAATTCTGATCACCCTGTATCTGTTCCACAAAAATATCTGCTATCATCCCTTCACTAGCAATACCAATCAGACGAACTAGACAAGCCCAGTCAGCACATCCTTTCGTTGTCAACCTCGAAAGATGTCGAACAGCACTTTATCAGGACTCCTTCATCCATATAGAACGGCTAGGCTCTGGAATTCATTGCCTGTGGAAGTATTCCCAACTACATATAATCTCCAAAAGTTCAAAAAAAATCCCAATACCTACCTCCTGTCCCTATCCTCCCTAGGAACGCACGATGTTCTTTGAACATTATAGGGATTCCCATTCGTGCGCTCCAAGCGATATATAAAAAAAAAATGTAGGATGCAAGAATGAAAATAATTTAGCGTGCCTATATAAGTTATACTGTACCTAGTTCTTAGTTTTAGTTCTTTAATGAATTTTGTTTATTAGTTTTATAAATAAATTATTTAAAAATGACTTGTTATTTGAGGAAGGCGGAAAAATCATATGTTCAACATGGGAGTAGTGTGCCTTTTCCTCCCTCGAATGATTCATCTTCGGGAGGAAAAGTAGCACTTTTCTTCCTTATTGTTATACTATACCTAGCTGTTTATCTTTTCATGCGAAAACAGTGCGTCGGACGGAAAAAATCAGGAGGTCAATTTGTTTTAAAATTAATGAGGATTATTGCAATCTTTTTTTTTTAATTCTCCGTATATATCGGATATAGTCGCTACTGGTAGACATATTCAATAATCTCCTGCATCAAAAAATGCATATTGGTGTTTGCCAGATGTCATAAAAATATTCAGAACAGAGTATCGAAGTTATGATAGGAAAACGATTTTTATCGCAAAATTTCAACTCCCTATAGCTCCAAAGTTGAGATGCATGAGGGCATAAGTTCATATGATTTTTTTTTTAAATGAGCCATCCAAAGGAACCATCCTTTATGTTTAGCCATCAATTATAATCTATAAGTATTATTTCAATATAGGTACGTGTAGTAGAACAAATCAGATGATTAGCCACAAAATGCCACTGCGTTTAAAAAATTCTTTATCAGAGATCCTAAAAGAAAAATCCAATCGTTTGTCAGAGACACCTTGTTTCGAAAAATGTTTGAAGAAAAGAAATATAGATAGGTATATTGAGAACATATGGAATTGCCACTAAACAGCTAAGCTACGAATCCAATTGCTGGCTGTTTTTTAGCAACTTCAAGTGAAAAATGTCCAAATACAATGATTATTTCCAATGATAATTTTTTACTCATTCGTCCACTTTCAAAGTAGTGTTTTTTCAGTATCTCATGCAGTTGATGTGTTAGCGCGTGATTAACCTTGTAACACAAAACAATATTGGTTTAAATTGCTAATATTTGAAACCAAACAAGTGACCAGATACTGGTGGGAGTGGTTGGTCCTTCGCCAAAAACTTAAATTATACATTTCTTTGGTGGAAGCTCCGCCATATTTTCGATTTTTTATTGTGATCTTATTATTATTTCAATGATTTTTACTCTCTTCATTTCACTTAGGAACTCATGAATTTGAAGTGTTCCTAAGATCCTGATCAATGTTTAAGATCATTGATTTTTATCTTCGGATGCTCAAATTCCTTTGGTGCTTTTTAGATCATCGATCCTGATGCTGAAATGGAGTGTTATTCTGTTTTGAAGCTGAGATTTCGCCAAAGATTAGAAAAGCTATACCTATACCTCTTACTAGAATAATTAAAGCTTATTAAGTTTATTTGTCTAGATTTCTTTGCATGTCTCTAAATGCCAACCCCCTCTACAGGGTGTAGCAGGATCATGGTACATCCCCTTTTTTTTCTTTAGGTTTAGAGATTAGTGATTGAAATTTCATCAACTCGATGAACGTCATGTTTTGACATAAATATGATTAATTTTCAACTTCCGGTTTCACCGGTATGAATTATTATCAATATGATCAATTTTTTATAGACGAACATCCTTTTGGACAGTGCCGTGATTTTTTGTTGGAACAATAAAATGAGGTCGATTTTTATGGAATCATATTAGGATTTTTTTTTACAGGAAAACTGACCTCATAATATATTGTTCTTCATAGTTTCAAACCCCGATATGCAAATTTTCATATGATTCCTATGGTGGGTTTCAAAAAACCAGGCACATCTAAACAGCATTTTTGCGAACGTGATAATTGTTTACTTGGAAACGGTGAATTCAACATAAAATAGCACATCTTGTTTTTTATCTCAAATCATGATGTTCTACCTACCGGAGCCATAGAAAAAATTCGGAAGCATGAGGAACAATAATATGAAGTTAGTTTTCTTGCGAAAAAATTACTCATATGGTTTCATGAAAATCGACCTCATTTTCTCTGTTGAACTGATTATATTGATGGTCAGTCATACCGGTAATAATCAGGTAAATAGTAGTGATTACAAATCAGAATCAGCTAGACGATTTTTTACAAAATATCACTGCTTTAAAATGTCACTGTTAGTAGATAAAAAATGATAGTCAGTGACATCTTGTTTTGAAAACTGTTTGAAGAAGAAATAGTTTTTTGAATATCGAATTAGTAATATCTAAAAGTGTCAATTATAATTACATACTCATCTAATATTGATATTCATCCCATTGGTAATTCATTGTGATTCACCACAAATGTCCCCCCCCCCTCTAGCTCAGGTATTTTGATGAAACATGAAATATCTCGAATTTCAACACCGTATATCTCTGTAATCATTCTCGCTAGACCCCGAGTGTGATACATTGATGAAATCAGCTCTTCAAGAAGAATCTTAAAATGCGATGAAATACAGGGTGTCCCATTTGAAAAAATCAACTAGTACCCAATACCCATGTAGATCGTTTGCTCCGAGCACCCTGTTTTTACTAGTGTAGCGGAAAAAAAACTCTGAAAAATCATTCCAGATGATTTTTCCAATTTTGAAATCTAATGAAATGTAAATAACTATTCTGTGACGGGAAAGAGGTTTGAAATTCCATTTCTGTTGACAGGTTATAAAATGTCACTTTTCATAAATTACTTTTTCACCGGATATATACCACATATACAGTCCACCTTAAGAACTTACCACCCCTGTAAAATTGTTATTATCTGATCGATTTCATAAAACTTTTTTTTGTTGGATAGGTATTTGAAATGTCCATCCAACAAGAGAGTGATTTTACTCATGAACTGTAATCGTGGCCAACTGCGACCAACTTTATTGACCCATATTTGAGAAAGTACTATTAGGGATTTTTTTCACAAAAAACAATGATGGATTCTGAATCACGATCACTTAAAAAACACCTTCACTGATTTTTATCATCATAAAACACGCAGGGTGTCCGAAAAAACGAATTATGTTTTTTTTTCAATAGGTGATCAGAATATGTAGTATTGTGGCATTTTTGAGAAGAATTGATGACACATTATTATTGTGGATCACTTTGAACATATCTGTACCGATTTTCATCATTCAAAAATACGATGTGTATGAGAAAACAATTGAAAAGAAAAAGTAGGCAATATTTTTTCATCAACTCAAAAAAAATATTAATTTGATTTTTCGACCACCCTGTGTTTAATGATGATGAAAATCGGTACAGGTATGTTCCAAGTGATCCTGATTCATCTTTTCATTTTGAGTGAAGAATTATCAGGATGAAAAATATTGCTTACCTATCCTTTTTAATTTTTTTCTCAGACACATTGTATATTCAAATGACGAAAAGTTGTACAGGTATATTTGAAAAAATCATTAATGATAATTTGTGATTATTTCTTTCTAGAAAAACCACAGAACTAGGTACATTTGCTGATCACCTATTTGAAGAAAATTATGATTCGTTTTTTCGGACACCCTGTGTTTCATGATGATGAAAATCGGTACAGGTGTATTTCAAGTGGTACTGATTCAGAATCCATCATCAAGTTTCGTGGAAAAAATCCCTAATAGTACTTTCTGGAATATGGGTCATTGAAATTTGTCGCAGTTGGCCACGATAACAGTCCAAGAATTAGATCACTCTCTCGTTGGATGGACATTTCAAATACCTATCCAACAAAAAAAGGTTTTTTGAAATTGGTCGGATAATAACGATTTTACAGGGGTGGTAAGTCCTTAAGGTGGACAGTTGGACACACTGTATATACACTGTTGATGGCTCTTATTGTGCTGTAGTTCTGATAAATAAGACAAGAACTGCAAGTCCTTTTACTTCGCGGTCACGTAAATTACTTAACAACCACTAAATTTGCAATTTATCAAAATAAAATTACAGAATTGGACTGACAGATATTTGATTACTTCAAAAAATGATAAAACTGCCTAAATAATAGATGTCTGCATCGCGGATGTTATTTCTCTGTTAAAAACTTATCATGTCGATAATTTTTTGATTTCAATATGTAATATCTTCTCAATATTGATTCGTCCTTTTTCCTGAATATTATACATGGTAAAATATTAGATTTCAGCTCGACACAACCTGGGGCTGAAATCTACTACCTACTTTTTCCCTTATATAATAAATAAACATTCATATTTAGTTTCCTATTGCAGCAATAGTAAACACGTCTAAGCTTCGTTTTGTAGTTTACCTACTCAGGTAGTTATTCATTTGCAGAATATTGACGTGAATTTTATTTCTCTTTCATGCAGTTTTTGCTGTAGTTCAACATACCTACATAATTCTGAGGATGTATCAAATTTTGGTGTATGGCTCCTTCATCAAAATTTGAAGTGAATCCACCAAATTATCGAAAATACGACCTTTTCGAATACCTAGTTAGTAATAATATTTCCCCTGGATAAGTAATTTTATAATCGAGAAAAATTCTAAAATGTTACAGGTCAGCGGTTGCAGATGTGCGATTAAAAATAGATTTACAGTTAGGTAGTTATATTAGGGTAGGACAGCTGCATCCCATCCCATACCCAGATCCCCTCCTATATATAGGTACTCCTTTTCAGTCTAACAATAATAAAGAATGGAAAGCTAAAGGGTAAAAGGTAAGACGTACCCATCAAGATCTATTGTATTTTGCGTCAACATATAGGTAAATATATTTTCCAAAATCTATTTCGATACTTGTATAAGACATCATGCAAAATATAGAGAAAACTTTAGGATGACGTCACTTCAACTCGCATGACTAGTTACAAAAGAGTGTTTTATCTCGGTTGACTTTCCAATTCGATTTCTTAAATAATATCTGTTATAATTAGAAAAAAATGATCTGTTTATTCCATTCCACATTGACATTTTGTCCCGAACATACTGAACGAATTGGATCGTTCCATAATGAATGATCATCCGCCATTTTCTAGAATGAATTCGCCATAATCTCTTATAAAAATGGTGAATGCGCCGAATTGTTTTCCATGGTGTCCACTGTCCAAACTACATCTACATGTTCTTTTAAAAATTAGCAATACGAGAGCTATCTAGGTAAGAATATATTTTCCATGAAAATTCAACAATTTACAATTATTTTCAATCAGTAGTATCAAGAAATCACCGGACATCCGATTTCTAACTTCCTTTGTTTACAAATTGCCATTTTTCACGATGATCACCCTAGATGTGGTTAAATCGATATGGTTGGTGACGTCATTCTAGAAGCACAATTGTCAGAAATCTCCTATTAGAAGTTGACAGAGCATTTGTTTTTACATAGATTGATCGTTTTTATTATCCATTATGAACGATTGAACATAACATCAATAATTTCATGTTAATGATATTGTACTGTGGTTATTTTTTTGTGGAATCTGGTACATTTACATGGGCTCGTAGTAGATTTTGAAGTTTTTACAGAATCTGAATATGAAAGAATTCAATTCCGGAAAGATTTTGATGAAACGAAATATTCGTTATGTGAAATTCTCGAATACAGCAATAAAAAAAATATAGGTTGATAAAACCAAAATCTTGTACTATTAATCGAACTATTTGTTAGGTGATATTCGTGGTTAGTGAATTATATTGAATGAATGTCCTCTCGTTATATTTTTAGTCTTATAACGCAGATTTTAAAAATTTTTGCACAAATGTCGAAATATTTTGGTTGTAGGTTGAATTACAGAGAAGTTGGTTATCGAAGACGACGTGAACAATTGCCCTACTCCTGCGATGCAGCGCCCTCTTTACCGATTTCCATTTTACTTTATGTCATCAGTTATGGTGGAAGCGCAACAAGTGTTTTGTAATTTATAATTTAAAAGACATGTGTGCAGTTTGAACGTTACAAATTATTGTACTGCGATATTAGAAGTGTTCTTGGTTCGTGAAAATCCTAGATTTCGTGTTTGGACGGTCGGATGTGTCTCTCGACAACCATAGGAGATCACAATATCAGAGTGCCCTGGCGATATCCAAAGGCTTGCTGATGCCACAGCCAGGGATATTCTGTTCTGAAAACGATGAAGAAAAAGCCCGATACCTACACAAGAGCAGGTAGGTCTAATGTGACGCTCAAGAACTTTCTCAATAACCTTAAAGAAAATGATTTACACTTTGAAAACAATCAGATTACTCAGTGTGTTTTTCTGGGGGTGTTGAGATTGAAACCAGTGCCTTCTATGTTTTGCACTTCAACTACTGCCTCTGCAGATAGTTTTCTGGAAGTGAAGAACACGAAGAAACGTAATCGACGAATTGGGAATAATAACAGTAATAAGGAACTCAATAAGAACTCAAATCGTAAAAGAGACCTCAATAAGGTGATAAGTGGTAGAATTAGCAAAAAAAACACTATTAAAGTCAAACAGTCTGTGAAGAAAGTGCCTAGAAAACAAACTATTCTGAAAGTGAATTTCAAAATGAATAAGAAACCGGAAACCCCTTCTGCTGCTAGTGGTTCAAGCAATAGCATAATTCTATCAGATACCAAAATTATACCACAATGTGCCTCATTGTCAAGAAGCCCCATTGGAGACCAATCTAAATCCAACCCTGTACAGAACCTATTCGATAAGCTGAAACAACAAATTGATGAGAGAAATCACCACCAAGAAACTTCTTCTGAGTTCCCACAGGCCAAAAAGCTGAGAAATAAAGCTAGCAAGAAAAAAACTCCACCAGATCGTTTACCAATGCCTTTACAATTTGGAAGCCCCAACATAGAGGTTGATAGTGACTCAAGTGGATTCAAAGATGATGGCATCACTTGTTCAAGCTCTGATACAAACAGTATTTCCCCTGTTTCCCAAAATTCAATAGATGCCAAATCGCATCACCCTTCAACACAAGTTTGTAATAAAGAAGTTATTTTGATTGAGGATGAAGATGCTCTAAGAAATGATGTAGTGGTCTTAGATGGGCCTACCAATAGTTTGTTATCTGTAGACACACCTCAAAATAGTGATGCTATCATAAAAACCTCACCAAAAATTTTGAGAGTGTCTCCCAGAAATAAAAAGGTTGATGAAACAAAACAATCTGAGGTTGGTGCAGAAATGAGAGAACTGAAAATAACAGTGCCTACTAGTGATGACAATAGTGACAGAAATCCATCACCATCTCTTTTACAAACATTCATACAGGAAGGTGATTCTGATAAGCCCAAAAGAAGACGCAGGTTGTTGCCAATGGCTATGCCCTCAATTTTCTTCAACACTCCCATGCTGTTGAGATCTGAACTTGCTCAAAAGAGGGGTGCTCCAATGGACAATAAACCTGCTTCTAAAGCTGTGCCTAGGCTGACTAGATCAGAAATAAAACAAGAGAAACATAGAAAAGATCAGCCCCTTCAGAAAAGTCAGAATAATGATAATTTGATATATGAGGTTGTTAAGCCTACAAATGTAATGGAAACAGTGTGTAATAATGATAAAGAAGTTATAGTGATAGAGGATATGCCACCCAAAGTTGAACCTTTGATATTGAAACTGAGAGTGTCTCAGCAGAAGGCCAGCACCTCAAAGGAAATAGCTCAGGTAGTGGTTGAAGATGAAAAAAATGTTCCTCAAGCACATCAGTCTCCTGAGAAATTAGAGTTTGAAGAAGAATTTGATCATGTTTTTGAAATCAGTAATGAAATCCAAGAAGCCAAAATGTCTCCTAAAAAACAAGTAAGTGTTGAACAAAAAAAAGTAGTTGATATTGTTATTATTGATGATGATAATGTAAAATCTAGTGGAGTTTTTGAAATGGAAACAGAAAAAACAAGTTCAGATGATATTATTCTTGTTGATGATGACAATGCTAAGTCAATTAATCCTAAAATAACAGTAGTCAAAGAGAGTGTCTTGAGAAGTCCTCAAGACAATATTTCCATTATTAATAAAACTCCTAAGCAACATATGAATGATTCAGTAATTGAAGAAAACCCCCAAGGCAAGGATTCAAATTTTAGAATCAACCCTAAACATGAAGTTACAGCTATAAAAAAAATTGACTTGACAAGTTCAGAAAACAAGGAATCGTATCCTGATGATATAGTTTCAGAACATGAAGTTATTTTAGTAGATTGCTCAGATGGTGTATCCAATAATGTCACAGATCTTATCAGAACTCAAAAATCATCAAAACTTCAGGAAACCATTGAAGAAACTTTATTGAATCCAAAATCGCCTGAATTACATGAAAATATTATTGATGTTGATTCAGATGAAGAATCTGTGAAGGAAACAACACAGTTGAATCAGAAAAACTTACAAAACATCCAGGTAGTAAAAATTGGTGCATCAAACAATTCTGAGGAAATTGATAATACTGACTTGGTAGATATCAGCAAAGAGGAAGACGCCAAATTACTAGAAGACAATGATGAGAAAGGTTCACCTGCACCAAAAACAACTATACACAAAAGTTCAATGCCTCTGTCAGCAACATCCATCGTTTTGAGATCAGAAAATCCACAACAAAATTTAACAGATCAAGACACTGAAGTTACACAAGCAACAATTGATGCCTCCATTGATGCTGATGTGGAAAGTCTTTCTATATTGAAAGTGGAAGAGATTTCCATCATAGATCACAAAATTGTTGTGGATCAGAAAACTGAAGCCATACCTACTGAGCCTGAAAGTATTGAAATAAACAGTACTGTTGAAGACAGTGATCAGAAAGGTTCTCCTGTACCAAAAACAATGATACACAAAATTTCAATGCCTCTCCCAGCAATATCCAGAGTTTTGAGATCAGAAAAGTCACAACAGAAATCAACAGAACAAGAAACGGAAGTTACACAAGCAGCAATTGAGGCTGATGTGGAAAGTTGTTCTATATTGAAAATGGAAGAGAACACAATCATAGATCAGAGAAATGTGGATCAGAAAATTGAAAGCAGACATACTGAACCTAAAAATACCGAATCAAACAGTACTGTTGATGAACCAGTAGAAACAACATCAAGATTGTTGAGATCAGAAAAATTAAAGACCAAATCGGCAGATCAGACAAACAAAGCTTCAACAGTTGTAGGAGCTGATCAAAGTGCTAATAATAATATTGATATCATCCCAGAAGCATCAGCCAAGGTATTAGGATCAGAAAACACACAACAGAAAAGTCCAGATCAGCAAAATAAGAGTATTGTGGTTGAGGAAATGAGAAAAGTAAACTATATCAATCCTCCAGAAGCAACCTCGAGAGTTTTGAGATCAGAAAAATCGCAACAGAAATCAGTAGATCAGAAAAATAATAGTATTCCAGTTGATGAAGGGACCAAAAATGTAAAAGAATGTGCTGAAATTTTCATTATACCTCCGGGAGCCACAGCAAGAGTTTTGAGATCAGAAAAAATACAACAGAAAGTGATAGAAGATCATTCTGTTATCAACAGTCCAGTAAAGAAACCGAAGATGAATAGATTGCTTGAAAAAAAGAAAACTACAAACTCTGAGGAAAATTCAGATGTTGAAAATGTTAATAAAGGCAAAACTCTTGTACCAAGTACATCGCCCAAGAAAACATTGAATGAGATAAAAGCTCCTGGTGATATTCAAGATAAGAATCCAAAAAGGGGTGGAAAGAGGCCTCTTAGGTCTAGTATTATCTCACCATCATCTTCAGGGAGCACTAATGATGAAACTACGTCTAAAAATATACCATCAGAATCTGCAGAAAAGATACCAAATCGTTCTAGAAAAGCAAAGTCTTCACAAGTTTCTCGACAAGTACCTAGAAAAGCTGTCAAGAACATTAAAAAGTCTACTACTGAAAATAAGAAGAGTAGGGAGAATATCGGAAAAAAGGTAGCATTTTTGTCTGAGGAAAAGATGGATGACATTTTGCCAAAGCAAAAAGCCAGGGCATTGAATAAGCGCGAGAAAAATACAAAAATTATGAAGAGAGTTCTGAGATCCTCAGAAATCAAACATCTTCAACCAGGCCTTGATGAAGCTAAGCCAAAAGTACTGAATAGTCCTGCTAAATCTAAATACAAAAAAGAAAGAAAGGCAAAGAAACAAGATGAATCAATGCCATTGAGATCAAAAGTTACTAAGATGAATAAACTAAGAAAGATCGTATCCATTAAGACCAAACAAATAGCCAAAGAAAAGAAGGTGGTGAACTGGAAGAATAATGAAATAATAGAAGAGATCATTCGAGAACTGAAAAATACGATCTTCAAGAGTGAACCAGTTGATGATGGATGTCAATTAGTTGAAGAAGAAAAATCAACAGCAGTGAAAAACGAGACTAAATCAAAAGCTGTATCCGACAAGAAGACAAAAACACCAAAAGAAGTGAAGAAGATTGGAATACTAAAAAGTAAGACTAAAGGAAACAAACCTACGACAAATACAAAAACACACAAACATGGGTTCAATAACAGAAAGAAGAAACAGTTGGTCAAGAAAGGAGATAAATTAAAAAAAGGCACGAAGAAAACAAGTACTCCTTTAAAGAAAAAATTGGAAAAGGGAAGTACCAAAAAGAAAGAGAAGAAATTACAAACTGATGCAAATGTCACTGTTCCAGAAGAAATTGTCGTGAATGAAGAAAAATGTGAAGAACCAAAGATTCCAACTAAAAAACTAAAACGAGGAGACGGCAGAAGAAAAATCAAAATAGAAATTCAAGAAAATCTCGAGGAAACTGCTATCCAAGTAGACGAAGAAGAGCCAAATCAAAAATCTAAGAAAACAAGAGTAGGAAGCAGAAAAAGCTTAAGGAACACGAACGCCATCGAGAATGTCACTGAAGACAATAATGTCAAACAAGAGATCCAAGCGCCTCCAAAAAAGGCGAGAACAAGAAAAATCAAAGAGCAACAATTAGAAAACACCACCCCAATAGAAACAGTTGGCACCGCCATAATAATCGAAGTAGATGGAACTCTCAATGAGAAGAAGAAAGAAGAAACTATCGAAAATCCATCCAAGGAAGAAAACGCTGTGGTCATCAAAGTTGATAGCCAAGAAAAATCAGTAGAAACAGTCAAACGTGAAGGGAAAAGGAAGATCAAACAAGTTCTAGTTGATAAAAGTTCGCTACCTGTCGAATTAAATTCCAAAGAACAACCTCATGCTATTGAAAATTCGTTTGTTCTGGAAGAAGCACCCAGTGTGTTACCAGCAACATCCAGAGTTGAAAAACAAGAGATGATTAGCAACCCCATATTCACACCCCCAGCCAAACGGAAGAACGAAGAATTGGAGCCACCGAGACCGATAAAAAAGCAATTCTCGAAAAATACCTCCATCATCATACACGACGATATTATTCTGCCCGAGGAAGCCACCAAGACCTCAACGAAGCCCACCAAGGATTCAGACAAAAAAGGCGACATAACCATCTTTGATTTCGAGGAAAACGACGAACCGGAAGTGGTGCCGTTGCGCCACAAGAACTCTGCCACAAAGAACACAGCCAAGCAGAGCCCGCTAGCTGAACAGGCCGCTGCCACAAATGGAATCCACCATCAGGTACAGTTATAAATTCCTCGATAAATTCTAAGTTTAGCAATTTCAAAAATATGCTTGAAAGAATTGAAAGACATAATATCAATTCCATTGTCTGCTGAATATGGAGAGAAAAAAATCTAGTGAGCTGTAGTATCGGGTCTGCTCAAACAAGGAAAATCACCTACAGGTTTCTGTGGCCGATACAGTAGTGCCGCCATACGGTCAACTCGAGAAACACTTATTTCAATTGTTTTCCTGTCAAACCTGCATAACCTTAAAAATCGTAAACGAGTTGAGCAGCTCCCTCAGCGGTGCTCTCGGCATTCTCGGCCGGCGGCACAGTTTGTTCAGTGACTTTGAGTTCACTATCAGGACATAGTCGCTCAGTAACTCGAAAATAAAAAAAAATCATTTCTTCTCAAAATGGTTGCTACAGACACTACAATAGTCCCCAATTTCCCAATGTTCAACACCTAACTTAAATGAGAGGTAGAATCAGTAGTATCGATTATTAGCTTTTCGAATTTATCCACTTATGTCGCAAAGAAATATCACTTGGGAAATACATTAATAGAGACGGTTTCACACTTTCTGGTAGGAACAATTGAGAGACATAGTTTGTAACAAATTATCAATCAGAATAAACACTTTAATACTGGGAGCACTACACAAAACTCGAGACAAAACTATATCTATTAACGAAAGGAATATTAGAACAATGAGAATTGAAGGAGAAAGATTTTTTTAGGAAAAAATAGAATACAAGTAACGATGCCACGACAGCTCTTGACACTGACAACTTACATAACCACAAATTTCGAAAACTTTCTAGAAAGAAGTGAAGATCATTTCGTCCGATACGGTAACATCCTCTGGTGGTCATACACTCAACTGCACTATAGAGAAGACCAGTAGTTACAGCTCACTAGAATTTTTTGTCCATATCTAGCAGACAATGATCAAATCTAAAAAGGTGTACTGTATCTGCCAGGCAGTAAAAGTTCGTTGGTATGCAACAATCCAAGAAATTTGAATGAAATTGACAGTGCCGGTTTAAGGTGATTTGTCGCCTGGTGCTATGATGGACGCGCGGTCCTTCAGACTCAAAAATATTCCTAATCTTTCGGGTCTTTGGATTTTTTCCCCATGACACATTTTTGAAGTGATAATAAATTCTATAGGCACGTTGGACGTTTTCTGGGATGGGAGTAAAACGTCAAACTCGCGTCCCTGGTGCCGCGTACCATAAGACCGGCATAATTATTAAGCAGTGTACCTGTACCATAGAAGTTCTACGCACACCAGTTTTTTTTTTTATAGAATTTTGATGAACAAAATGAGAAATATAATATAACAAACAGGGTGTTGTGGAATAAAATTAAAAACATAGTTCTTTAGTGTTCACATAATGAATAACAAGGAAAATGAATAGGTATATGTTAGAATAAAAAAAGAAAATCAAATGATGATACGCAACTACATACCTAGGAACATAAAGTAACAATAAAAAAATGTGTTTTCTTGCTTCAATGCAAGCCTTTATGTATGATACTCTTTACAAGCTCTATACATTAGTTTCATTTAGGAGATCTTGTTTGAGTTGAGACAAAATTGTTAGCTCAAAAATTTCGAAAACAAACATTCATATTGGGAGAAGAAGATATTGCTTTACATTATTCTCTTGTTGAACTTCAGAAGAAGTTGTAAGGAACGGTTCGAAAGACGATGAAAAAGGCATTCAGAATCTGGGCGGCAATTCAAAATTCGTTCAATATGTTAGAAATTACGAGAAGTTAAACTTGATGCCAAATTTCACTATTAACGTTTCAATTGACGCCCAGTTTATTTCCGGGGGAGATCTTGAAAGTTTCCTGAGTTGTCCATTTTTAATTGGAATTAGGTACACGGAAAAATGACGCTTGAAATGCTTATTTCGAGGCTTATTTGTTGACTGCCACTACTGTCAGTTTATAGCGACTGTTGCTATGGGTACCATATGGGTGCCAACAGTTATCACCACATCAATCCTGGTATTTCCTTCGAAATCGTACGGAAAAATAAAAATAATGCGGAAAAGTAAAATCGTACGGAAAAGTACAACTTTCACAACGAAAAATCATGTGGAAAAGTTACTTTTTCGCACGCTCGTATATAGGAAGAATTATTCATAGTGGCAAGAACCCTATTAGATGGATTACCGACTACTCTCAGGCGCGGAATTTGATCATTATTAGGATTGTTAGATTCGTAGTTTTGGCGAACACGCCGGGACACATCTCGATTGTATTATATGATTATATGAATATTTTATACAACAGTCGTGGATAACGTATAGTATCCAACTCGCATATAATGAGCTATCATTCACTCGTTACGCTCGTGACATAGATAGATATATAGATAGGCTTTATTTAACACTGTTACATGTGAATGTTTAGTGCAAGTCGAAATGTATCAAAGATAATATTCATCTTCCTAACACAAATACCTATAAAGAACAAGTACTCATAAAAAACGAATACACATAGTAGTCAGACAGACATAATGGCATAATGATAAAATATATAATATATAAATGGGATGATAACTAAAAATATAAAAATGTATCATTAAATCATTTATGGATGGAGGTGCCAAAAACACTTAAGTATAAAACTTACATTTGACAAAATAGAATAAGTTGAGATTACAATTCATGAGTGAGCGACTCAGTAAGTATATCTAAGGACATTCTTGAATCCAAATATTCTTGAACACTGTATACGCATTTTTTGAGAATAAACGAATTTAGAATCACTGAACAACTTCACGGTCATAGGTAGCTGATTGTATAGGGATAAATTCAATAGTTATTTATTATACAAGGGAAAAAAGTAGTAGATTTTAGCTCCAGGTTGTGTTGTCTCCCGACGCGTAGCGGAGGGAGACAAAAAACCGTGACAAAGAACTTCATTATTTGCTCCATTATTTGTTTACAAATGATGAATGTGAAAAATGCAGGATATAATGGGAACATTCAAATTAAAAATGGACGGAGTGGATATCGGAGTAAAGATACATGGGTAAACTGTGGTAGCTGGTAAAGTGAAATAAATAGGTTTTCAAAAATAGTTGATGTTGACGTCATTATGACGAAGTTGCCACCTTTCTACAAAATACTCTAATCGGCTTTAATGGGGAATGTGAATGAAAATATCCCTATTGACATCAATATGTTCACATCGATCGCCGCGCACAGTGTTGTTACAGAGCTCGGAATTTCTGACTGTGCTGAAGTTGGTCACGACATAGTGACAATGGTACTAATCGTCGAATCATCACAGATATTTATTTACGCTCAGGAAATTCAAATATTGAATAATTCCTTGTGCAAAAATGATGGGATATGTTCATATTTTGTTTTTGTAGCAAAAAAATAAGTCACACAATGAATTTAAGAAATAGAAATATTTATTTATTTACGCTCCACGTTTCAAACGAGATTTGTCGAAATACGTCATATCTATCAATCTTCCAACTAAAAGCTATCATGTTGCGGTTTTCGTTGGTCTGTTGAGATATAGTTTCTCTACAACATCGTGTGACCATTAGATTCATTCTATCTCAAACTTCATCATTATTCGTCGCTGAGATATGGCCGACAGCCGTTCTTAGTTGTCCACCTGGTACACTATATATGTATCATCTATCAATAGCATATTTTATAACAATTTTAAAAGGCAAAGTGTTAGTATTGATTGTAAGCCCAATATATCTATCCCATTTTGGAATTTTTTGCTGCATATTTTTAACAAGAAACCTGTGGCTTTGCTAGCTTCGTGCGCACTTAGCAGAACCATTTTTGAAATGAATATATTTTTCACTGATTTGATATATCGATATTGAGAGGCTGATTTTAGGCTAATTAATTACCCTATTTACGAGTTTTTTGCTCAACGTTTCAAACAAAAAAAAAACTCGAAACGATTCGTCTAAATACGCGTTTTTCACTATACATTATGGGTGATCAAATGTATCGATATATCAATAATTTTCGATAATTATCGATTAAATTGAGATAAAAATTATCGATTATATAGATTATATAGATTAGATAGATTACATAGATAAATTCTCGATGATTTTCGATAATTTTCGAAATATCCGGTGATTGTTAATTGTAATCGCTTACTCCTATAAATAGTCCTATTCAACTAAGAAGACAGCATTGGAACTCATAGGGAAGCGTTGAGATTCGATTAGATTGGTTAATATCGGAGGCAATATTGCACTTGCCCAGGGGCGGCGAGTGCATGGGGGCATCGGGGCCAATGCACCCATGTAGGCAGTGGGTATGGGTGCAATGCACCCATTGGCCGAAACAGACGTATAAAAAAACAAATTAGATACGGGCGAAATGAGCACTTGTAAAATTGCACATTGTTGCTGGACAAGTATAGGTAAACAACCATGCGAACCGTATATTCGATTCATGTGCATCCAGGGTTTGACACTGTGCACTGTGCAGATATTCCGATTTAAATTTTAGACATTATGACATCACAGGTTACAAGTGCCAGTTTGGAAAAAAATAGAAGTGGCTAATGAATCCATTGATAATACAGTCAGTAGGAATACCTTTGCAATAAATTAACTGGGGTTACTTGCTAATTTTTTCGAATCCCGAAGTTTCTCTATTCCATTTTTTGAGATATGAGAATTATTAAATCTTATTTTATTTTTGTAGAGATTGAATTTTCTAATATCGTTTTAAATTTTGAGTTATGTTCACATTTTTCAATGGTGAAAAAAAAATCTTCTATTTCTCATCCTTGTTCATATTAATATATCAACCATAAACTCGAAACCCGATTAGTCACAAAATATTATGTATTGGTAGAGGTGTTTCACACTTGATGCAAAATAAATAATGCTTTGATCTATCTTGAAATTTGATGGCATTTGACCTTGAACCATGAAAAATTTTCGCCTGCGGCGCATAATTTTGTCTTACCCTGACCCCTCAATTTTGGCACCCATTGGACAAAACAAAACTCGCCGCCCCTGCACTTGCCTAATATTATGACTTACGACGTGGCGTAACGGTTGAAGTTTTCTTATGGGAATATGTCTACATGAACTGCCGATTATTTTTCGTACATTTATATTTTACCATCATTTTGAATTCACCAATGTGAGTGTCAATTTTGATTACCAATTTCATTAAAAATACTTGGAACATTGCATAGCAATAAACTAGTACATTTTTGCTGCCTGTTAAGTGTCATAGAAGAGTCACTATCTATGCCACTTGGAAGAAATAGTTATTTGTTGAGAAAAAAGTCTGAATTCAGAGAAAAAGGTTTGAATAGAGAAATAAAATAAACACAACAGTGGCCTTTCTACGCTTCCCTATTATTCTATTGGAACCATATTGGAACTGGTAATGTATTCTCATTCCTGTAGTCAAGCTCATCATCTGACGTTGCGATGACACGAAAACTACGGTAAAACATTCCCAAGTCCTGGCTTAGATTAAAAAGTCCTTTTTCCTCGAACCTAACCCATTTATACCCATAACTTTATTATGACGTCACGGTTTACTTGGGAAGCTTGACAGATGTCAGTGTATCAGCTGTTTTTGTTTATTGTTTGGTTTAAGTAGGATATTGAATAAAGAAATTCATTATTTCTAACAAAAATAGGAACTTAACTACTTGAAATTCAAGAAACAAGAGCCCAATCCAGTGCCCTATCAAAAGCCTCAACAAACTCCGTGAACTACCTCAGTGAGCTAGTTTGTGTGGTTGGTTAACTATTACGTCATAGTTTGGAATACACTTCAAGGATCGACCCTGGAGGTGAAACATAACCTCACTTTTCTGTTGAGCATTGAAACACAACTTCACTCTTCTCATTAGTTTACAGAGGAATCAAAGAATTTAAATAGTTTTTCACAATATCTTGACATACGAATCGTGTTTTTTGCGCTATTCATTAATTCAAGCATGCCTTCTCATTGTGCTGTTGTACAATGCACAAAAAATGCAGCGAGAGACGAAGGAATATGATTTTTCAGGTAAATAGTAATCTCACAATTCTCATTATAAAATTTTGACATTTATTAATATTTCTTGTGCGACTTCTGCAATTGAAGCTAATCTCTTAGTATATTGAAAATGTCTACAACACACACGATCATATTTCGTCAGCATGTCAGACCAGTCCTCCCGTTCGATTGCATGAATCCAATCTTCTTGCATTATTTTAGAAATTTTACGAGTATTTATATTAGCTCTTATTGCAGAAGGAATTCCGATGAGAAATCAGAGAAATTTCAAAATGAAAACTATATGTAAGTGACTATAGTAGGTACTTACTTTTAAATCATAATGTACCAACCAGATTCTTTCGTCTCCCGCCGCATTATGCTAGTTGACACTTAAGTATGTGTCAAGTATACTAGTTACCACTTAGTATCTGTCAAATAAGCTAGTTGGCAGATAGTATCTGTCAATTAAAAAGAAAATATCATAAGGCGCTTCTACGCTTTCGTAGTTTTCCATAGTTTTCATGTAATCGCTACGTCAGATCATAACTGTAATGTGTTCATATGCAGTATATGCATGCGACGATATAGGCGGCGAGTTTGGATGACATCAGTCAGGAACTTGTCATAAGTTATGCTAAATGTTAACTAAGAAATATACACTGTGTCCATAAAGTCACCCCCCCCTGGTTAACTATTGAACGGATGGGATTTTTTTTTTCAATTTCTTTTTGCTTCAATGGTAGTTTCAGTGCTATATATTGTTCAAAAAAAAAATATGTATCCTCCAAAATGGCGCCTGGGCGCCATTTTGGAAGATGTTTTTAAATGGAGTGGGGGGTCGAAAGATACCTCGATTGAAAGGTCTTTCGATTCTTTATACAACCTCAGAATCTCAGACAAAAATATTCATCCAAAACAAAATGGCGGATGATAACGTTTGAAATCTCACACCAGAATTCTTTCGACTGGATGGCTATTAAAGTGCTCGCATGTGATCTTCAAATCTTTATTGGCGTATAGAAGAGTTCTCTATCTATGAAGATATCAATAGAAAGCCATTTTGAAGAGAATAACATGGTTGTCACGTGGAATAAACATTGTTCTTTAAAATTTTGCAGAATTTGGAAAGACAATCGAGCAAAGGTATAATTGACTACCATGTTATTCTCTTCAAAATGGCTTCCTATTGATATCTTCATGGATAGAGAACTCTTCTTTACGCCAATAGAGATTTGAAGATCACATGCGAGCACTTCAATAGCCATCTAGTCGAAAGAATTCTGGTGTGAGATTTCAAACGTTATCATCCGCCATTTTGTTTTGGATGAATATTTTCGTCTGAGATTCTGAGGTTGTATAGAGAATCGAAAGACCTTTCAATCGAGTGTGCTTTCGACCCCCCACTCCATTCAAAAAAATCTTCCAAAATGGCGCCCAGGCGCCATTTTGGAGGATACATATTTTTTTTTTGGAACAATATATAGCACTGAAACTACCATTGAAGCAAAAAGAAATTGAAAAAAAAAATCCCATCCGTTCAATAGTTAACCAGGGGGGGGGGTGACTTTATGGACACAGTGTATTCCCAAGGCTCCATAATATTGATCACAAATATTACTTATAACCTTGACTACCGCGAATCTCGAATAAATTCTATCCCATTCTGAAGAACCTAGCCCAGCAGAGCCCGCAAGCAGACCAGCCCGCTGCCGCGAAGGCCGCGAAGCTGTGGTCGTGCATCGACGTGAAGTTGCCGCGCAAGAAGAAGAAGCTGTGGACCACCGTGGTGGAGATACCGGCCAGGAGGCGGCTGCACAAAGAGAAGAAGTACACGGTGGTGTTGGACGACGACGATTTCATCAGGATCATCCCGCCGCCCAGCGTGAAGAGGGAGGGGGAGGGAGGCGGGGGACAGGGGGGCGGTAGGTCCGAGGGGGAGGTGGGGCAGCTGGGCGGTAGGGTGGTTGAGAAGAAGGGGGTGGATTCGGGCAAGCCTGGCGGGTCTGCAGATGAAACGGGTGAGTACTCGATTGAAGTTTGGGTGGCATTGAAATAAGTGCAAATATTTCAAACACTTAGGAAGCTCGACGTGTACTATCGAATGGTACTGATAAAAAAAAATCAGGGATCAAAATAAAATTTGAGGTTAAACCCCTTTTTCCAACCTAAGTTCTACACTATAGCAAATCTGACGTCACCTCTGTTTTGATTTTCCATGCGGTAGGCACAATCACGCAGACTTCTATCATTTAAATTGATTAAAAGTGGCGTACTTGATTTTTTCTCCTATTTTGTTCAATTTTTGGGATGAAATTTCTCGTTAATTGGAAGAATTAGAAAAAATCTGATATCAATCTAATGTGCTGAATATGTGCACTTATTTCAAAAACACCTTGTATAGGTAGTACGTACTTCCCGGACTAGGATTTCAAGTTGGAAACCAATTCCCTAGAAGTTGACGCTTGTGCCGGGTTAGGAAGAGCGCGACCTACAGCTCATAGTGGAATCTGAATATCAATTCATAGCAAAACCACAATATCCCAAACTTTTTTCGAGCAGTTTATTTATGCTCAAAATTTGCTTGAAATTTCCGGTCCTCGGATTCTCTAAAGTTTTTTGGAGTCACTTGAATTTCTTTTTAAATTCCATGCTATGTAATGCTCAACGATTTTTTTCCCCATTCTTCAACATTTTTCAATTATTATATCAACATTTCCAGAACTTATTGATATGAGTACATGAGTTCCTTGAAATTTCTTGCATTTCTCGATTTCTCGCAAATTTTTGAATGCTTGAAAACTTTCGAATTTCTTTAATTTTTAGAATCTAAATTCATGAAAGTTTCGAATTTTTCATTTGGACCATATATCTCTCAAATCGATGTGGATTTATTTTTCAATCCTCGAATCACTTGGATTTTTGGAAAACGTATGAAATTGTTGGAAATACTTGAACATTTGATTTTTTCAGGAAATCTTTGAATTTCTTTGGGATTTGCATTTTTCTTGGAAAGTATTTTCCAATTCCTCGATACTTTTAAGAACACCTCTGTATGTTCTGAATTTTTTGTTCAAACTTGTAGGAGTTTCTTAGAACTCTTGGAATCATGTAACTTTTTAACAAATTCTCCAGCAATTTTTGAAATTCTTTCAATTTCTTATCATTCTCAGAATACCCCTCGATTTTCGTTCTAATCCTGATCATGCCTAACTATTTGTAATTTTTTTAAATTCTTAGAATTCTATGGCATCATTTGACAATTTTTGAGAATCCTTGTGATATTTTTTTATAACTACCCTAAATTTTTCTTGTATGTTGTATGTAGGTAATTCAAATAATTTTTCAATGTTTCTCCCAGCATAATCCTTGAATTTCCTTGGCATTTGTAATTTTTAAAATTCTCAGGATGTTTTTTTTTGCAATTTTTGAAGTTCTTGAAAATAATCAAGAAAGCCGTTGTCTTCCCTCGAAATTCATTTGGTTTTCTTTATGGAACTTATCACAATCGTTCGAAAATCTTTGTACTTATAATTTTGTATGATTTTTCCTAGATCTTGGTTTTAAATCGATGAATTTTTCAGTATTTCTTCCACCATCCCCTATCAAATCCGAATCTCCCATGAAACAACTGACCATCACCGAGATGTTTAGCAAATTCTCCAAGAAAAAAACACAAGTGCCAAGACCAGCGTTGGACGACTGCATACCAACTAGGAGCGTTCAGCCAGAACCGTCATTAGGGCCCAAAAAGGCTCCCTTACCCCAAACCAGCCCTTCAGCATGTCCAGGTTTGTAACTGCAATTTCTCATTCATCAAATTGAAACTAAAATGCTATGTAAATTAGTATGAGCGCCCGCAGAAATTTTTCTATGGGCGATTGGGGGTGGGGGGGGGGGGCAGAATCATACACTCACCGGCAAAAAACGGTCAGAGAAATATTATTTATTTATTTGGATTAGGTAATCCATAGGATAAGGTGGACACACTTGAAATGTCAAGAATATACGAAATTAGTTGTAATAATTGTGATAAAACATATGTAGGCCAAACCAGGCGTCTCATTAAAAGAAGGTTCAAAGAACACTTAGCACATTTGAAATATGGTAGGTTAGATAAATCGTGTGCAGCCGAACACATGTTCAATCACAATCTTAACATACATATTAATAACCTCAAATTAGTTAAGCAAGTTAATGATGTTAGAAAATTAGATGCATATGAAAGCTAAGAGACATTTAAGAATAGTAATAGAGTGATGAATAAGGATAGTGGACCTATCCCATTCAGGCTTCTGTATAGTTCAGTGATAAAAGACCAAGGTTAACATGTGACCTCAACCATGACTAACATTAGCTCACGACAACGAGGGAAAAACTTCGAATTCAATGAAAAATATGATTATCAAACCATATCACTTTCTTCGAAAATGAATCATGATTCATTTTCCGATTAATAAGTCAGATTGATTTTAACATAACTGGGTGGCCCATTTGAAAGCGGGTCACCCTCATACATTTTTATTTATGTAGCGATTTTCGCAGTTTTTTTTTGTAACGTAGGGGGGGAGATGTATTTTGGAGCAAAGTGGCAGAAAAATCCAGAATCCATATTAGCGTTTTTTTTTTCGCAAAATCCGCATACACCACTGGAATAGGCGTCCTCTGAAATAGATCTGTACCAAGTTCCATGAAAAAATATACAACATTAACGAATCTACAGCGTTTCAAAGCCCCCTCCCCTATGATGCCATAACGTGCCCTTGAATAGATGTTTGCATAGTAAAATGTTTTGACAACGTTGATATTTGTGTTAATCGACAGTATTCTGAGGCCAAAACAAGACCGGTTATGTTCCTTACAGAGGAAATTGATGTGAGAGGAGAAATTCAAGGTTTCATGGAGAAACACTCCCAAACATTTGATTTCTGTGGAAAATTCTATTTTATGTCGATTAAGAATGATATTGTATAACGTTTACATTAACATTGATTAGAGTTCCTAAATGTACTTGGCACTGCTGTTTCGACGTTTTTTGTATATTAGTGTATGGACACTAGACAAGCAGTGACAATCAAATATAACCACAAACGATTTTGAAGCGAATCATATGTTTTGCCAGACAAGGACAAGAATATGTTTTTCGCTTAGATGAAGGATCCTTGCATCTTCCGTCCTCCACAAGTCCTGGGAAGAGTACATCCATAGATCTTTCTCTGTCCTTGATTTTTATATGAGAGTGCATAGCGTCTCCTCGAGTGGGTAAAAGGGTACGATACATTGATTAGAAAATTATTATATATATTCGTTCAGTTGAATATTTGTTTATCACAAAAGTTCAGAATGGGGTAAAAACTGATACATTTCAAGAAACATACTTTCATTTAGTGTGGAACAATTTCACTTGTACAAAAGTGGTAGGTAATAAGTAATTAATAAATAAACAAATGATATGGCAACAATAACAGCTGATTTCAGTTAGGATAAATAATAAAGGTTCTCCAAGACATTCGGAGGTAGGTATAAATGGACTTCAGCGCTCGACTCACTATAGATCGCTGTTCACATTGCTTAAGGGGATTGTTGGTTAAACCCGGCCATCGCTAGATCATTTTCAATACCTAACATAAATGGTGCACTTGTTAAGCGATCTTGTTTTGTGCTCTGATAATATCTCGCTCGTATCTTGGTACCCAAGAAGTGGTTCAAAATCCACTAGGAGCTATGTAGTCGTCTAGCATTTCTCAACTACGCATGAACATGCACATTCAGACATGGGATTTCAACTATGAAGAAGTGATACACGAACAATATATTCAACTCTTTGATATAGATACATCAATATCTGGTACATCAGAGTTCCACAAAGTGACTATATGTTTTCACAAAATTATTATAAGAGTTCGTATACGAAGATGATCTAAAGAATTCTTGGTTGAACAGGGATGTGAAATCAGTTTGAGTCAGCCAATTCAGGAAATTGCTGCTAGTTCATCATCAGATTATCGACAATGATCTCCATGGTGGCTATTGTAATCTCTGCTCCATCATTCCATCACAAGCAATAACCAAAGTCTAAATTGGAGTAAGATTCTTTTCGATACTCGCTCAGTTTATAAATTGTGGCTTCGGCTCTTCTCTCAATACGATCTATCTACTATTCTGCAACTTCCTACCAAGAAATTTAAATACCTCGCAAATGTGGCCTGAACCTATATTCCATACCGGCTGCATTATATTCTGTTTCCATTTTTGTAGAATTGCGTTATCCGATGGAAATTCGAATAGAGTGAATTGATTTCCCGTGTTCTCCCAGTTGGAAACTGCACAAACTTGCATATTTCTCCTAATTCTCTCAATTTGTCAAACCTTTGTAATTTATGTCATGTACGTCTGTGTACTGTCAGTTCCCCGCTTTTTCCATCAATTTATTTGTGGTTATGTGTGATTGTCAGTGCTTGTCATAGTGTCCGTACTCTGATATACAAAAAACGTCAAAATCAGCAGTGTCAAGTACATTTAGGAACTTTAACGTTGATAGCAGCACTTCAACTCTCTCTACTGTTTCTCGTCAGGTCCGTCTGGACGGAAACGCGAAGAGATCACAAAACCGTCGAGTTTCGCGTCTCCTCCTTCCACTCTTCCTCCTCCTTCCACTCTTGCTCCTCCTTCCACTCTTCCTCCTCCTTCCACTCTTGCTCCTCCTTCCACTCTTCCTCCTCCTTCCACTCTTCCTCCTCCTCCTACTCTTCCCCCTCCTCCTCCTCCTACTCTTCCTCCTCCTCCAAAAACCGAACCGCTACGCTACTCGAGGATCGAACACGCCGAAGAGAATGACGACGACAGCGATTGCGAGAGTCGAGCCGAATGGGTACCCGAAGAGTATGCCGAGTACAAGTTCAAGTATTCCGCGCAGAAGATGATGCAAATCAAGCCGATATACAAGTGCAAGGTAATCCTCGTGACCTGTCAGATTAGTAATTTATAATACCACAAGTGATACTTTTTTGCCGGAAATATTCTGCGATTGTTACCACAGCTCGTTGCCTAATAATTTCTCCGAATGACATTGTTTAACAAAACTTTCGAGCCGTAGGCGAGTGTTGTATTCGCATGAGTATTCCATGATCGAGACAATAAACGAGCGGCTCGCGAGAGATGCGCATACTGTATCCATCATTCTGGCTTTCAACTTAATTGACGTTTTAAACGTCCAAAATTGTGTCGCTGAGAAACGAGGAAGGTTGGTCACGTGTGGTCAATTCGGCTTCTGTCTTGGAAGAGCAAGTCCGATAAAAATTAGTAAACAAAAAAATATCGTTGTAATACAGATGAAAGCGTGACAATGGCCGATTCTGATTGATTCTAGAGATCGAGAGTGGAATAGTCATATGTAATACCACAAGTGATACTATTTTGCCAGAAATATCCGGCGATTGTTGCGACAGCTTGTTGCCTATCAATGTCTCCGAATGACATTGTTTATCAAATCTTTCGAGCCGTAGGCCCCCAGATCCCAATTTTGAATACAATTAGACCATAATTACAAAACTAGTCCGATATATTAGATCCTCCATCTTGAATCTCCTAATGGTACCGGGATAAAAAGTATACTATAACCTTCTTTTGGTTCTAAGCTACCTTCCCACCAATTTTCAGCCAAATCGAACCTGTAGTTTCGGAGCCTATTCAATACAAACAAACAAACAATCAAATCTTTCCTCTTTTCCATATTAGTATAGAATAATTACCCTATATCAAAAATCAGAAGCTGAGTGAGTAACACCATTATCCTTAACGAGAATTAAATTGTATGTCAGGTGTGTCTGGCTCTACTGCCGAGCTACTACAAATTGGTGAAGCACAAGAAGTGTCACGAGAACGTGGACAACCCGTACAATTGTGCGCAATGCGGGGCGCTGTTCAATAACGTTGAAGATTTTTCGGCGCATCTGAGGGCACACAAGGGTGAGTTCATTCGATATATTCTGCATGCCGTGTGTTATCTGGAGACCATCACCCTGTATCTATTCAATAGTGAGTTGTTTTAATCTATCAAATCATCCATAATAGTATATTATGTAACAAGTTTCATAAACGTCATTTTAATAACGAGTAATTTAAGTCTAGAAGAGTTTATAAACCCGTTACATACTATACTTTTGCTCTCTTCGTCAATATCCCCTAATTCTGAAAAATAGATAACATACCTGCTAACTTATAACATAATCCAAGGGAATGGGAATTGAGAACAAAATACATAAATATCAGACTACTTTGTAGTGAACCTCACAATACGAAATATCTAAGTCTTGAAAATATGGTACTTTGAAAATTCATTGTGGCAATCAGAAATTTTTGAATTTACGTTTCTAATAATAATTATTCAATTGTCATTCAGAATATTATAAGAAATGGTGAAAGACAATTTGTGTCTTATGTGGCGAGTCGAGTGATAATATTATTACATAACCAAGTATTTATTCTTGAAAAAAATAATTACCTGATCTGGAGAAATTGTTACCGAAAAGAGACAGACATCCAATAAACCCAAAGAGAAGAAGAAGAAGACGACAATAAACAGTTGAAAATCGCAATATTAGGTTCTTGTTACATCTCATTCCAATAGATGTCGCTGGACGAATTCTCTTTAAAATGGAGAATTTCATCACATGGACATACTTACACCATATCTGTATTTTTTGTCGTGATTGTTGTTATTTATTGCAATAGCCATTAAACATATGACGATATCAGCGCCTCTTACGGATTTTCTGTGAAAAATAACCTTATATAGAAGTGTCATCAGTTTTTGACCGATGTAAACATTTAAAACATGGCAACAAGCCTTGATAAACATCTCATTTGTCACAATTATGGATGGAGCTTTTGTTTCTGAAATTCTTCTCGACCTTTCGAGAACAATGATTTTGGCGATCTTTTAATAGATGGGGACACAAATATGACATCTGTCAATTTTGAAATTGAACTCTTACTTTTCGAAATATTCGGATCAAATTTGGAATATAGGTTACGTTGTAGTGTTTACATCATATATCAACTACTCATATATGAAGCATAGCTGTCCTCGAAGAGGGACCAACTTTCGACGTAGGGGAAAAAATAATACGAAACTTGTCAAACTTCAAACTGTTTCCATCCTTCACTTTCCGTCCTTATAGATTCAGAAAGTACCTCTCATTTAATTGGAACAGATACAGGGTGATCAGAATTCTGAATCTTGAAGCACCCTGTATTTTTTCCAATAAAATTTCAGTAGATAGTCAATCAAAAGTTAAGATAGGGACATGAAAGCCGTTTTGATCGATAATGAATAGTTTCGACACAAAAAAAATCCTAAAATTTAAAAATCTCGATTTTGAACACCCTATATCTCTGTAATCATTCCTGCTAGACCCCAAGTGTGATGCATTGATGAAATCAGCTCTTCAGAAAGAATGTAAATATGCAATAAAATTCAGGGTGTTCCATTTGAAATACCAAAGTGGCTAGTTGTTTCTGATAGAAGTGGCAACACTGTATCGATGAAAATATTCTAGACGGATAGAGAATGTTCAATTATCGAAGAAACCCAATTTTCAGGATGTTCTGTCTTTTCGTTCTCCAGATACATCTTATAGGCCATCCACCGTGGATCACTCTGTATAGAAATATTAAATATATGGGATTATCAGTTTGACAGGTAATGTGAATGAAATATCTCATCTGTCCTTGTCTCCAGTGTTCCAACGTAAAATAATGGATATTTTATGTTGGTAACATTGGAAATGGAAAAAAATGGAGATAATAATGATATAATAATAATAATATATAATAATATATAATAATAAAAAAACCCACTACATATTTAGTTTTTGATCTGAATTACAAGTTTCCGAACTTCACCTAAAGAAAAGAAAACCTTGACTTCTTATAAATGGTGCTGGAAACTGATAACGAAGCGTTTGCGGACACATTTCTAGAAAAAAAAGTGTTATTTCGACCTGAAAAATATGTCCTTGAAATCTTGATACTGGAGTTTGAAATATTCTATATTGAAATAGATACTGATCTGGCTTAAAAACTTAAGCCTATATATTTTATACAATATGCTATTTTCTCATCCCAAATTATTTGGAAAATGTCAACAAAGAGGAAAGAGCAACCTTCAGCGAGAATGCTTTTACTCAAGGTTGGTAGAACTGATGATAATTCAAAATAATCATCAGTTCTACCAACCTTGCGTTTACTAACTTCGTCACTCTATCTAGTTATAGAATTATCAAGGTACTCTTGTACATTTTGTGTTTTTCAAGTGTTGGTAGCAATGGTTTCAGACATATTTGGCAACACTGATAATGACATGACACTGAAAGGTGACAGTTTCGTAGTTGACATTTTTGACAGTAAACAAAAACAAGCGTCATTATTGGAAGTTGTGGACGCAACAAGTGTTTATGTTTATTAATAATTGTTTTTGCAACAATAACAAAACAAGTATATTTGTTTCTCCAAAGAATATAAAAGTTGATCTGAATCACCATGTCTCCAGCAACTAGGAGAAGTTCAAGAAAGCAACCTGCTAGTGTAGTAGTCAAAGAACCACCTAAAGTGAATGCCAAGAAAAAAGCAATCAAAAAGAATGCAAAATCACATCCTAATCAGGTAGCAAAAATATCTGTGATGAAAACAAATATCAAACAGAAAAAAGGAAAACTGAAAGTGAAGAAGGGCGTGAAGAATTATGGGAAAGGTCCATTGAAATTTGAGTGTATTACTATAAAGTCAGAGGGTAATACAGATATTATTGCCATCCCTGAGTATCCTGATATCCAAATAAAAGTGGTGAAAAAGGGTGAGTGATATTCATGACTCAAACTGAAATGGGATTACCTCCTGGATTACTGGAAGTCAGAAGAGAAATTGTAAATGAGGGACAAGTTTGGCTTATATTAATCCATCTTTAGCCTCAGCTTTATATGCATGGTCAACAGAAGCAGTAGCAAGAACATTAATTATATGTTTTGCCTAATAAATGGCATGCCAGTTTTCAACTGATTTTGAAAAGGAATCATATTGTAATGTATGTATATGTGAGATCTGCTATCTGGATAAATGGATTCATTTGAAAAAATTTTTCTTTATTGGAAAGTGGTTCTATGATAATAGATGCATTGAAATTGGTTCAGTACTTTTTCATAAACTCTAAAAAATCCTATAGGTCTTGTCAAAAATTAAACAGTATGAAAGTGTGAAAGTTCAACAACAATTTTAACATATAATTTTTCAAGTAAGGTGCACTATCACAATAGGGTCAAATATTCCATTGGAATTTGAGGAGTGTTATTTTTCGTGCAGGGTCCAGTCAGTAAAAGCTAGTGTTTAATTTTTTTTTGCACTGAATAATGTTTTGGAGAAACATAATACTGAAGTTTCATTGTGAGATGAAACATTGATTTCAAATTTGATGATGCCATTTTGTAGAGGAGAAAGAATTGATGTGATATTTTTTATTTTGATATATTAAAAATTTATAAACATCTTTGTCAGTTTTGTTTTTTATCTTCCAGTATTTCCAGATATACCTACTTTGAACTCTTCAAATTTTGAAATTACATTTTGATAAGCTTGAAATGTCATAGTGCAACTTTTACTCTTATTTTGTATACAGTTCTTTTAAATTAATGAACATTGTGTAACTGTTTGACATCTTTGAATTTATCAAACTTCACTGTACAAAAAAATGTGTATATACATTCATTGAACTATAGGTATTTATCAAAACAAGTAATCATCCAGGAAATTTTCATTATACTATAGTACCAATAAATGTAATTTAATTTGACATATTAAACATTAGAAAATCATTTCTGAACTTGCCTCTACAGGGTGTCCCGAAATTAATTACATAAAAATATTCTAATTGCAGCTTCTAGGAGCAAAAATAGTGAATAAAGTTTATAGAAACATGGGTTCAGAAATTTCCATATGCTCAATGAGTGTGACAGAGAAGGAAATTTTAATATTGTGCAAATATCTTCAAAATTGTTTGAAATAACCCTATCAAACCTGGTATGGAATAAAATACTTTGAAAAATCAAAAGTTTGGGTCATTTCCAGTCAAACCAGAAGTACGGCAAAAGAAGTAGATATATCAAAAAATGTCAATTGAACTATAATTCAATAATTCACAACCCCAAATTTCGTTATATTCAATAACTAGCTGACCCCACAAATGTGGTTTTACTATAATGTACATTATTTATAGAAATGTGGTTTTGCTTTAATGTACATACATTATTTATAGAAAATATTTTTTCAGTTTTATATTCATCAACACACTATTTTCTACTTCTTATTAGTTGGGCTATCTATATAAAAGCATGTTTCTTTATTTTTCAATTTACCATTTATTTTCTACTCCCGTTTAGTTTACTTGAATTTCCTAATTCTGAATAGAATCGGATCATAATTTCGAAAGTCGTTCGTCATATTGGATCCGCCATCTTGAATTTCCTAATTTTGACGATGGAATCATAATCTCCGACCCCTAAAACCCCCAGGTACCAATTTCGAATAAAATCTGATTATAATTACAAAACTCCTTTGCCATATTGGCTCCGCCATATCGAATTTTCAAATTAATTTCCGAATTTTGACAAAATAGTCATAATCTCCGACGCCGAAAACCCCCAGATACCAATTTTGAATAGAATCGAATCATAATTACAAAACCCGTCCGCCATATTGGATTAGCCATCTTGAATTTCCTAATTTTGACGATGGAATCATAATCTCCGACCCCTAAAACCCCCAGGTACCAATTTCGAATAAAATCTGATTATAATTACAAAACTCCTTTGCCATATTGGTTCCGCCATATCGAATTTTCAAATTAATTTCCTTAATTTCCGAATTTTGACAAAATAGTCATGATCTCCGACGTCGAAAACCCCCAGATACCAATTTTGAATAGAATCGAATCATAATTACAAAACCCGTCCGCCATATTGGATTAGCCATCTTGAATTTCCTAATTTTGACGATGGAATCATAATCCCCGATCCCGAAAATCTCTAGATACCAATTTTGAATAGAATCGGATTGGGATAACAAAACTCGTTCGCCATATTGGATCCGTCATCTTGGATTCACAGGGATAAAAAGTATCCAATAGTGGCCTGCTAAGCTAAATCCCGAACAATTTTCAACCATATAGTTGTGAACCACAAAACTCGTCCGCCATATTTGATCAGCCATTTTGAATTTCTTAATTTTGACGAAGGAATCATAATCTCCCATCCCGAAAATCTTTAGTAACCAATTTTGAATAGAATCGGATTGTAATTACAAATCTCGTCCGCCATATTGGATCCGTCATCTTGAATTCACAGGGATACAAAGTATCCCATAGCGGTTTCCTGGTTCTAAGCTGAATCCCTATCAATTTTCAGCCAAATCGGTTCAGTCTGTATACAGGGTGGGCCACCAGTAACGCCTCGGTCTCTAGAAAGCTAACCACTTATCTTCTTGGAATTCATCCTCTCTACCATTTAAAATTATTTCGAAACATACAGGGTGTCCCCAAAAACCATAAAACACTGAAGTTAAACTTTTTTCTATCGAACACCCTATATATTATTTCATTTTGAGATTCTCCCTGATGAGCTGAATATAGGGTGTGAAAATCGAGATTTTCCAAGTTCAAGAATTTTTTGTGTCGAAACTATTCATAATTGGTCAAAACGGATTACATGTCCCTTTCTCAACTTTTGATTAACTATCAACTGATATTTAATTGGGACATATACCGGGTGATCAAGATTCTGAATTCTGCACCACCCTGTATTTGTTTCAATTAAATGTCAGTAGATAGTTGATCAAAAGTTGAGATAGGGACATGTGAGCCGTTTTGACCAATTATGAATGGTTTAGACACAAAAAATTCTTGAACTTGGAAAATCTCGATTTCTCACACCCTATATCTCAGTAATCATAACTGCTAGACCCCAAGTATGATGGATTGTTGAAATCAGCTCACCTGGAAGAATCTCAAAATGAAATAATATATAGGGTGTTCGATTGAAGAAAGTTCAACTTCAGTGTTTTGTGATTTTTCTGTATGTTTCAAAATAATTTCAAATGGTAGCCTATGTTGACATGCAACTTCCTAGAGAGGAAGAATTCCAAGAAGATAAGTGGTTAGCCTTCTAGAGACCGAGGCGTTACTGGTGGCCCACCCTGTATATAAAAACCATATAGGGGTGAGCCACCTTGGAAACTCAACCGGTATATTGATATACAGGGTGTTTCAGAGTTGTGGTGACAAAAGCCTAGGGGAGATTCCTCTCAACAAAATATGTTTTGTCATCACAACTCTGAAACACCCGGTATATCAATGGATGGCTTTTATCTATACATGCTGAACCGATTTGGCTGAAAATTGGTCGGGATTTAGCTTAGGAGACCGCTATAGGATACTTTTTATCTATGTGAATCCAAGATGACGGATCCAATATGACGAACGAGTTTTGTAATTATAATCGGATTCCATTCAAAATTGGTATCTAGATATTTTCGGGATCGGAGATTATGATTCCTCCGTCAAAATTGGGAAATTCAACATAGCTGATCCAATATGGCGGACGGGTTTTGTAATAATTATGATTCGATTCTATTCAAAATTGCTATTTCATATTTCATATTTTCTTGAGAGGAATCTTCCTTAGGCTTTTATCACCACAGTACAGTTCCTCGAACATACTTTGACTAACTCATCGTTATTCATATTCTCGCAGGCAAACACCCGTACCAGTGCCTCAAGTGCAGCATGGGCTTCTGGACCAAGCAGGCATACGACGAGCACGCCCCCGTCCACGTCTTGCGCAAACAGAAACCGCCCGTGAAGCGGTTCCGATGCGACGTGTGCGCCAAAGAGTTCGGCAAACTGTGCGACGTCGAACGGCACACGCGCGTCCACACCGGCGAGAAGCCGTGCATCTGCAACATCTGCAACAAGGGCTTCCAGCAGAGCCACAACCTCAGCAAGCACATGCTCACGCACCTGCACATCAAGCCGTTCCAGTGCGAGATATGCAACAGGTAGGCGGGGGAGAGAGATGCAATAGGTGGGGTGGGAGGTTCGCAAATGGTAGAGTGAGAGGTTTGCAACAGGTTGGCGGGGGGACAGATGCAACAGGTGGGGTGGGAGGTATGCAACAGGTAGAGTGAGAGGTTTGTCAATGGGAGTAGTGGGTCAGAAGCAGGTAGGGTGGAATGTATGAAAGAAGATCTGCAACAAGGTTTTTCAGCAGAGCAACACAACCTCATCAAGCACATGCTCACGCACCTGCACATCAAGCCGTTCCAGTGCGAGATTTGCAACAGGTGGGCGGGGGGACAGATGCAACAGGTGGGGTGGGAGGTATGCAACAGGTAGAGTGAGAGGTTTGTCAATGGGAGTAGTGGGTCAGAAGCAGGTAGGGTGGAATGTATGAAAGAAGATCTGCAACAAGGTTTTTCAGCAGAGCAACACAACCTCATCAAGCACATGCTCACGCACCTGCACATCAAGCCGTTCCAGTGCGAGATTTGCAACAGGTAGGCGGGGGGACAGATGCAACAGGTGGGGTGGGAGGTATGCAACAGGTAGAGTGAGAGGTTTGCAAATGATAGAGTGAGAGGTTCGCAAATGGTAGAGTGAAAGGTTTGCAGATGGTAGTAGTGGGTCTGGTGCAGGTAGGGTGGAATATTTGATAGAAGATCTGCAACAAGGGCTTCCAGCAGTTCTACAACCTCAGCAAGCACATGCTCACGCACCTGCACGTCAAGCCGTTCCAGTGCGAGATTTGCAACAGGTAGGCAGGGGGACAGATGCAACAGGTGGGGTGGGAGGTTTGCAAATGGTAGAGTGAGAGGTTTGCAACAGGTTGGCGGAGGGAGAGATGCAACAGGTGGGGTGGGAGATATGCATCAGGTAGAGTGAGAGGTTTGTCAATGGGAGTAATGGGTCAGAAGCAGGTAGGGTGGAATATATGAAAGTAGATCTGCAACAAGGGTTTTCAGCAGAGCAACAACCTCATCAAACCATTCCAGTGCGAGATTTGCAACAGGTAGGCGGGGGGGCAGATGCAACAGGTAGAGTGAGAGGTTTGCAAATGATAGAGTGAGAGGTTTGCAAATGATAGAGTGAGAGGTTCGCAAATGGTAGAGTGAAAGGTTTGCAGATGGTAGTAGTGGGTCTGGAGCAGGTAGGGTGGAATATTTGAAAGAAGATCTGCAACATCTGTAACAAGGGCTTCCAGCAGTTCTACAACCTCAGCAAGCACATGCTCACGCACCTGCACATCAAGCCGTTCCAGTGCTAGATTTGCAACAGGTAGGTGGGGAGACAGATGCAACAGGTGGGGTGGGAGGTATGCAACAGGTAGAGTCAGAGGTTTGCAACAGGTAGAGTGAGAGGTTTGCTAATGGTGGAGTGAGAGGTTTGCAAATGGTAGTAGTGGGTCTGGAGCAGGTAGCATGGAATATTTGAAAGAAGATCTGCAACATCTGCCACAAGGGCTTCCAGCAGAGCTACAACTTCAGCAAGCACATGCACCTGAACATGAAGTCATTTTCAACAGGAAGGCGGTGGGAGAGATACAACAGGTGGGGTGGGAGGGGGTTAGAGGTTAGTAAATGGTAGAGTGAGAGGTTTGCAAATGGTTTAGTGAGAGCTTTGCAAATGGTAGTAGAGGGTCTGGAGCAGGTAGGGTGGAATATTTGAAAGAAGATCTGCAACATCTGCAGCAAGAGCTTTCAGCAGAGCCACAACCTCAGCAAGCACATGCTCTCACGCACCTGCACATCAAAACAATTTACGATGTGACAGGGTTTATGAACATTCTTTCTTTTCTATATATGGTAGTATTCCTTATTTATTTATCATTATTATTATGTGAGAGCTTTGCGACAGATAATGGAAGTTATGCTACAAAGAGGGTTGGAGATATGTAACAGAGTGGGAGGTCTGCAACTGCTAGGGGAAAGTTTTTCAATAAGTAGAGGGAAAAATCTGCAAAAAGCAGATTGCAAGATCTGTGACAAGTGAAGGGGGAGATTTGCAACGGATAGGATGAAAGATTTGAAACAGGCAGTTGGGTTGAGGAATCTGCAAAAGGAATGGGGAGATCTGCAGCAAGTATGGTGGGAGGCTAGCAACAGGTAGAGTGGATGGTCTACAACTGGTGGGTTGTAGAGTACAAGATTCACAATAGGTTGGACAGGTAGGGTGAGAGGCTTGCAACAGGTTATGAGGGAGGTTTGTAATAGGTAGAGTGGGAGATATGTCATAGTAAGGGTGGGGGATTTGGAATAGGTAGAGTGGAAAACCTGCAACAAGTAGGGTGAGTTATCTACAAGGGTGAGTTGCAAGATCTGCAAAAAGTAGATGAGAGATCTGCAACAGGTAGGGTGGGAGATCTGCAAAAGGTAAGATTGAAGATCTGCAACAGGTGGTTTGTAATAGGTAGAGTGGGAGGTTTGCCATAGTAAGGGTGCGAGATTTGCAATAAAGACTCTCACTCTCACCAACTATACTCGAGAGCTATTCGGTCCTAAAATTCTCGAATTTTTCTTCCTACCGTCAGACAATTCGGCAGAAACGACGTCCTCAACAGGCACCTTCTCACCCACTCCATCGAAAAACCGATCAAGTGCTGGGTGTGCTCAAGAGGCTTCATCAGGCACACCCAGCTCATCGTCCATCTGATGAACCACCATCCCGACCATCCGTTGGAGGACCCGAATCTGCTGGGACCGGAGGCCGAACAAGAGAGGAAGACTGAGGAGGAGGAGTTCGAGGAGGATGAGGAGGAGGAAGCGGAGGGCAAGTGATGAGGGTCTAGTTGTTGTGGTTCGGTCGGGATGAATTCGCGGAACTGAAACACAGAGAATTTATCTTTTTTTTCCGATACCGAAATTTTGCTTTGTAACCTCTGGAGTGAAGGTTATTGTTTGTCTAGCATCCTTGTTTGCCCAGATCATAATTTGTTTATTAAAATTCACGTTTTTTGCTGCGAAGACTTCAATGAGATTTTAAAAAAACGCTGATGCTTCATGGAATCTAGAACTCACGGAATTCACTTAGACTTGTTTGTCTAGTACACCAAACTTTATCTTCGCAGACTTTTTCATGATTTTACGTACTACATGAACACACTTTATCGGGATTTCGCTAACTTTTTTGGGACTTCTTGTTCACAGAACTTCATCCTTGCTACTATACGAAATTCTTTCATGATTCTCTAAATTCATCTATGCCTTACGGATTTCATCAGACCTCATGATCTTGATGAATAATTCACCGACTTTATGTGTAGCTCTTCGGGACTTGACAGACTTTAGGAATATTTTATCTGGACTTGCACACAATTGATTTTTATCCTCGGGAGCGAAAGTTTTTGGTTGGTTAGCATCCTTGCTTTTGTTTAACAATGCTCGAATTATAATTTGTTAACCAAAGTTCACGTTTTTTACTGCAAAGACATCAATGAGATTCCAAAAAAAAATCGCTGATGCTTCATGGAATCTAGTCCTCACGGAATTCACTAAGACTTCTTTGTCTAGTACACTAAACTTTATCTTCTCGATACTTCCCTATATTCTCCAATATTATATCTTCACAAGTTTTTTCATGATTTCACGTACTACATGAACACACTTCATCGGGATTTCACTAACTTCTTTGGGACTTCTTGTTCACAGAACTTCATCCTTGCTGTTATACGAAATTCTTTCATGATTCTCTAAATTCATCTATGCCTTACGGATTTCATCAGACCTCATGATCTTGATGAATAATTCACCGACTTTATGTGTAGCTCTTCGGGACTTGACAGACTTTATGAATATTTTATCTGGACTTGCACACAATTGATTTTTATCCTCGGGAGAGAAAGTTTTTGGTTGGCTAGCATCCTTGCTTTTGTTTAACAATGCTCGAATTATAATTTGTTAACCAAAGTTCACGTTTTTCACTGCAAAGACTTCAATGAGATTCCAAAAAAAAAATCGCTGATGCTTCATGGAATCTAGTCCGCACGGAATTCACTAAGACTTCTTTGTCTAGTACACTAAACTTTATCTTATCGATACTAAATTCTCCAATATTATATCTTCACAAGTTTTTTCATGATTTCACGTACTACATGAACACACTTCATCGGGATTTCACTAACTTCTTTGGGACTTCTTGTTCACAGAACTTCATCCTTGCTACTATACGAAATTCTTTCATGATTCTCTAAATTCATCTATGCCTTACGGATTTCATCAGACCTCATGATCTTGATGAATAATTCACCGACTTTATGTGTAGCTCTTCGGGACTTGACAGACTTTAGGAATATTTTATCTGGACTTGCACACAATTGATTTTTATCCTCGGGAGCGAAAGTTTTTGGTTGGTTAGCATCCTTGCTTTTGTTTAACAATGCTCGAATTATAATTTGTTAACCAAAGTTCACGTTTTTTACTGCAAAGACATCAATGAGATTCCAAAAAAAAATCGCTGATGCTTCATGGAATCTAGTCCTCACGGAATTCACTAAGACTTCTTTGTCTAGTACACTAAACTTTATCTTCTCGATACTTCCCTAAATTCTTCAATATTATATCTTCACAAGTTTTTTTCATGATTTCACGTACTACATGAACACACTTCATCGGGATTTCACTAACTTCTTTGGGACTTCTTGTTCACAGAACTTCATCCTTGCTACTATACGAAATTCTTTCTTGGTTCTCTAAATTCATCTATGCCTTACGGATTTCATCAGACCTCATGATCTTGATGAATAATTCACCGACTTTATGTGTAGCTCTTCGGGACTTGACAGACTTTATGAATATTTTATCTGGACTTGCACACAATTGATTTTTATCCTCGGGAGAGAAAGTTTTTGGTTGGCTAGCATCCTTGCTTTTGTTTAACAATGCTCGAATTATAATTTGTTAACCAAAGTTCACGTTTTTCACTGCAAAGACTTCAATGAGATTCCAAAAAAAAAATCGCTGATGCTTCATGGAATCTAGTCCGCACGGAATTCACTAAGACTTCTTTGTCTAGTACACTAAACGTTATCTTCTCGATACTTCCCTAAATTCTCCAATATTATATCTTCACAAGTTTTTTCATGATTTCACGTACTACATGAACACACTTCATCGGGATTTCACTAACTTCTTTGGGACTTCTTGTTCACAGAACTTCATCCTTGCTACTATACGAAATTCTTTCATGATTCTCTAAATTCTTATATGCCTTACGGATTTCATCAGACCTCATGATCTTGATGAATAATTCACCGACTTCATGTGTAGCTCTTCGGGACTTGACAGACTTTAGGAATATTTTATCTGGACTTGCACACAATTGATTTTTATCCTCGGGAGAAGTTTTAGGTTGGCTAGCATCCTTGCTTTGTTTAACGATGTCCAAATCATAATTTGTTAACTAAAGTTCACGTTTTTTACTGCAAAGACTTCAATGAGATTACAAAAAAAAATCTCTGATGCTTCATGGAATCTAGACCTCACGGAATTTACTCAGACTTCTTTGTCTAGTACACCAAACTTTATTGTGTCTCAAATATTTTTTCATTACTTCATCGGGACTTCACTAACTTTTTTGGGACTCCTTGTTGATGAAACTTCATCGTTGTTACTCGACGAAATTCTTTGATGATTCTCTAAATTCATCTATGCCTTGCGGATTTCATCAGACCTCATGGTCTTCATGAATAATTCACCGACTTCATGTGTACATCTTCGGAACTTGACAGACTTCATGAATATTTCATCTGGACTTAAACACAATTAATGTTTATCCTCGGGAGTGAAAGTTTTTGGTTGGCTAGCATCCTTGCTTTTGTTTAACGATGCCCAAATCATAATTTGTTAACCAAAGTTCACGTTTCTTACTGCAAAGACTTCAATGAGATTACAAAAAAAATCACTGATGCTTCATGGAATCTAGACCTCACGGAATTCACTCAAAATTCTTTGTCTAGTACACCAAACTTTATCGCGTCGATACTTCAGTAAATTTTCAAATATTTTTTTATTACTTCATCGGGATTTCACTAACTTTTTTGGGACTCCTTGTTGACGAAACTTCATCGTCAGTACTTCACGAAATTCTTTGATGATTCTCTAAATTCGTCTATACCTTATGGATTTCATCAGACCTCATGATCTTCATGAATGATTCAACGACTTTATGTGTACCGCTCCGCTTGAAAGACTTCATAAGTATTTTATCTGGATTTCACAAAAAACGCACAGATTTCAGGAGTACTTCAAAGGGACTTCTTCTGGTAGGTACTTCTCTGGCTTGTACGTCATACTTCCTCGTCGATACTTCCCACGAAATTCTTTGATATTTCTCGAAGTTCATCTTCTTCGCGGATTTCATTGGGACTTCACGGATTTCACGAGTGGATCACAGGTCTCATTATTATTTCGAGTACTTTATCGACAGATGCATGAGACTTCATCGACAACTTCACGTACTTTATATTGAGGTTTCACGTACTTCACGGGGACTGGGAAAACAATGTATATGGACCTCGTGGAATGCATGTTTTTGAAGGACTTATTTTCAGCTTCTTTGCTATTCTTCATGAACAATTCACTCCTTGGGGACTACATATGGGACACAAATTTCACCGAAATTTCACGGAATTCATCAGTTTCGCGCACTTTTATCGGGACTATATTTTCAAGTACTTTTGTTGGAACTTTACGAGACTTGAGACTACTAGTACTTCTTTTGCTCCATATATTGAAAATGAAAATTTGTTGTCAAATTTATCCGCGGATTGTAAAACTTTTTTCTTATGCTACCGATTTTCTTTTCAGCGATGAAGGCCTTAACATAGATGAGATGTAAAAAACAATCTATAAAATTTTATATCATGAGCTCTGTGAAATATTTCAGGAATTTTCAGGTTCTTCTCTTTCTCTTGTGTTTTGGTTCTGTGGAAGAATTACATGGTATTTTATACAAGGTTTTTTAAAATAATTTGTGAATAATACATCAGCCAAATTTTTCCCTTAGAAGTGTCTATTTTCCATTTATATATGTGAATCAGAAATAGATCTCATTTGAAAAAACTTCTTAAAGAAGAAAAGTCGTGGATGATTTTCTAAAGAAAGCTGTTGATATCCACAAGAATCTCAACATTCATTACAAAATGAAATACAGCTGACAGTTTATTTTCGTCTTCCGTAGATTGTTTACCAATTATCAATTATTACATAAGGATCAAAAATGAAATTTATCATCATGAACAAGATTGTGATCTTTATTGTGAGATTTTTTGATTTTCTTAGTGGATCTATGGAAATATTCTAGAGAACGTTAGTTTTTCGAATTTGAAATTTTGTCATTTGAAGATGATGAAATTAAGGTGCTGAATCAATGGTTTATTTGATTCATGTTATTTCATAACTCCAGATATTTTTGTTCAGAAATATACATAGTATATATTTACAAAATCGAAAAAATAAATATCTAGTTTGATTTTGAAGAGAATTTTGAGTCCCTGTTAAGACTTTTGACTGTTAGAAATTATTGTAATGTTAAATCGATAATTCATTATTAAAATATTATCGTATTTTTGTCTTGACTTCATACAAAGTGTGGTTTACATAAAGAATTTGAGTTTCAATACGGTGTTCTGAATTTTAATTATTCAGCCTTATTTATAATGTGTGTAGTTGGTTATTATAACCTCAATTTTTTATTCAAAACATTTTATATAAAATGTTTATGTATTTATCTTTAAAATATTAGCTGGATGCCTTATTTATTTTATTATATTCTCATTTGATAGATCTTAGGGAATTGTAAAAATGTTGTATATTACTTGAGAAGAACAGTTTTTTTTTATATATATATTGTACAAAAGTTATTTTATTTGATTTATTTGGTTAGTTGTAATAATTTTAATATTATACACTTCTTTCTCTAATGAATATATTTTCTTGTGGAAATATTGCATTTTTTTTATTTCTGTAAAAACAAACCTGGGAATGAGGCAAACCAATATTATACATTTTCGTTTCATAAACAGATAATCTTGATACAAATCTCTTTGATTTGTTGAACAAGAATCTGAAATCCGTTTCTTTGAATCTCTTTTAGTTTTCACTAGAGTCGTATTCAAATTCAAGAAAAACTGGGGCACTACATGGGACCACTTTGTTATGAAAGGTACCACAAGGAAATAAGAAAAGTGTCAAACATTGTTTTTCTCTCCTTGTTCCCGATGTACTGAACAATAATCTGAAATCCTCTTCTAACTATCTCTATATAATATTTTTCTCGAGAATCTCATTCAAACTCCGGAAATACTGGGGCACTAGATCGAAACTTTTATTTATCAAAGGGGCCAGCGAAGGTGTGTAAAAAAATGTAGATTTTCTTCTATTGGAGATAAAGAGCTGTGCTCGTACTCCCCACCAGGACATTCTTGAAGGACCCTACGACAAATTTGATTTTTTCGGGTCTGAAAAAGAAACAAGGGTAACCCCTTTGAATTTTTTCCGTCGTCGAGACGTCAGAATATGCTGAAAACTTATACGCAGGGTTTTTTCGATGCGGTGAACAAGAATCGGAAGTCTGCTTCTCTTTATCTCTCTTGGTTCCTGGATTATTTGCGATCAAAACTGAAAAAATGTGCGAAAGATCGTTGGAATGATGGCCAAGATTCAATTTCGTTCCGCCAAAAATTCAGTACTTCTCGTAAATCAATATCCAGTTGATTCAGGTAGGTACTAGATCGAGCCATTTATATTGAAGGTACCGCAAGGCAAGGAAATCAGGCAAAAAATAGCTCCTTTTTTCGTATGAAAGCTAGAGAGCTGTGCTTCTACTCCGCACTATGGCATCCCTTAAGGACCCTGTATACCAAATTTGAAGGCCCTACGACAAAGTTGATTTTTGGGTCTGAAAAAGAAACAAGGTTAACCCCTTTGAACTTTTTTCATCCTACTCGAGACGTCAGAATATGCTGAAAACTTGTATACAGGGTGTTTTCTATGCGGTGAACAAGAATCGGAGGTCTGCTTCTCTTTATCTCTCTTGGTTCCTGAGTTATTTGCGATCAAAAACTGAAAAAATTGTGCGAAAGATCGTTGGAATGATGGCCAAAATTCAATTTCGTTCCGCCAAAAATTCAGTACTTCTCGTAAATCAATATCCAGTTGATTCAGGTAGGTACTAGATCGAGCCATTTATATAGAAGGTACGCAAGGCAAGGAAATCAGGTGAAAAATACCTACTTTTTTCGTATGAAAGCTAGAGAGCTGTGCTTCTACTCCGCACTATGGCATCCCTTAAGGACCCTGTATACCAAAATTGAAGGCCCTACGACAAAGTTGATTTTTGGGTCTGAAAAAGAAACAAGGTTATAACCCCTTATTTGAACTTTTTTCATCCCACTCGAGACGTCAGAATATGCTGAAAACTTGTATAGAGGGTGTTTTCGATGCAGTGAACAAGAATCGGAGGTCTGCTTCTCTTTATCTCTCTTGGTTCCTGGAGTTATTTGCGATCAGAAATGTGCGAAAGATCGTTGGAATGATGGCCAAGATTCAATTTCGTTCCGCCAAAAATTCATTTTACTTCTTGTAAATCAATATCCAGTTGATTCAGGTAGGTACTAGATCGAGCCATTTATATTGAAGGTACCGCAAGGTAAGGAAATCAGGTAAAAAATAGCTACTTTTTTCGTATGAAAGCTAGAGAGCTGTGCTTCTACTACGCACTAGGGAATCCCTCAAGGACCCTGTATACCAGATTTGAAGGCCCTACGACAAAGTTGAATTTTGGGTCTGAAAAAGAAACAAGGTTAACCCCTTTGAACTATTTTCATCCTACTCGAGACGTCCGAATGTGCTGAAAACTTGTATACAGGGTGTTTTCGATGCAGTGAACAAGAATCGGAGGTCTGCTTCCCTTTATCTCTCTTGGTTCCTGAGTTATTTGCTATCAAAAACTGAAAAAAATGTGCGAACGATCGTTGGAATGATGGCCAAGATTCAAATTCGTTCCGCCAAAAATTCAGTACTTCTCGTAAATCAATATCCAGTTGATTCAGGTAGGTACTAGATCGAGCCATTTATATTGAAGGTACCGCAAGGCATGGGAATCGGGTAAAAAATAGCTAATTTTTTCGTATGAAAGCTAGAGAGCTGTGCTTCTACTCCGCACTATGGCATCTCTTAAGGACCCTGTATACCAAATTTGAAGGCCCTACGACAAAGTTGATTTTTGGGTCTGAAAAAGAAACAAGGTTAACCCCTTTGAACTTTTTTTATCCTACTCGAGACGTCAGAATATGCTGAAAACTTGTATACAGGGTGTTTTCGATGCGGTGAACAAGAATCGGAGGTCTGCTTCTCTTTATCTCTCTTGGTTCCTGAGTTATTTGCGATCAAAAACTGAAAAAAATGTGCGAAAGATCGTTGGAATGATGGCCAAGATTCAATTTCGTTCCGCCAAAAATTCAGTACTCGGAAATCAATATCCAGTTGATTTTGGTAGGTACTAGATCGAGCCATTTATATTGAAGGTACCGCAAGGCACGGGAATCAGGTAAAAAAAAACTACTTTTTTCGTATGAAAGCTAGAGAGCTGTGCTTCTACTCCGCACTATGGCATCCCTTAAGGACCCTGTATACCAAATTTGAAGGCCCTACGACAAAGTTGATTTTTGGGTCTGAAAAAGAAACAAGGTTAACCCCTTTGAACTTTTTTCATCCTACTCGAGACTTCAGAATATGCTGAAAACTTGTATACAGGGTGTTTTCGATGCAGTGAACAAGAATCGGAGGTCTGCTTCTCTTTATCTCTCTTGGTTCCTGAGTTATTTTGCGATCAAAACTGTAAAAAATTGTCCGAAAGATCATTGGAATAGTTCTCGTAAATCAATATCCAGTTGATTCAGGTAGGTACTAGATCGAGCTATTCATATTGGAGGTACCGCAAGGCAAGAAAAGCAGGTAAAAAATAGCAACTTTTATCCTATGAAAGCTAGAGAGCTGTGCTTCTACTCCGCACTAGGGAATCCCTCAAGGACCCTGTATACCAAATTTGAAGGCCCTACGACAAAGTTGATTTTTGGGTCTGAAAAAGACACAAGGTTAACCCCTTTGAACTTTTTTCATCCTAATCGAGACGTCAGAATATGCTGAAAACTTGTATAAAGGGTGTTTTCGATGCGGTGAACAAGAATCGGAGGTCTGCTCGCCCTCTTTATCTCTCTTGGTTCCTGAGTTATTTGCGATCAAAAACTGGAAAAATTATGCGAAAGATCATTATGGAATAGTTCTCGTAAATCAACATCCAGTTGATTCAGGTAGGTACTAGAGCGAGCCATTTATATTGAAGGTACCGCACGGCAAGGAAATCAGGTAAAAAATAGTTACTTTTTTCCTATGAAAGCTAGAGAGCTGTGCTTCTACTCCGCACTATGGCATCCCTTAAGGACCCTGTATACCAAATTTGAAGGCCCTACGACAAAGTTGATTTTTGGGTCTGAAAAAGAAACAAGGTTAACTTTGAACTTTTTTCATCCCACTCGAGACGTCAGAATATGGTGAAAACTTGTATAAAGGGTATTTTCGATGCGGTGAACAAGAATCGGAGGTCTGTTTCTCTTTATCTCTCTTGGTCCCTGAGTTATTTGCGATCAAAAACTGAAAAAAAATGTGCGAAAGATCGTTGGAATGATGGCCAAGATTCAATTCCGTTCCGCCAAAAATTTAGTACTTCTCGTAAATCAATATCCAGTTGATTCAGGTAGGTACTAGATCGAGCCATTTATATTGAAGGTACCGCAAGGCAAGGAAATCAGGTAAAAAATAACTACTTTTTTCCTATGAAAGCTAGAGAGCTGTGCTTCTACTCCGCACTATGGCATCCCTTAAGGACCCTGTATACCAAATTTGAAGGCCCTACGACAAAGTTCATTTTTGGGTCTGAAAAAGAAACAAGGTTAACCCCTTTGAACATTTTTCATCCTACTCGAGACGTCAGAAAATGCTGAAAACTTGTATACAGGGTGTTTTCGTTGCGGTGAAGAAGAATCGGAGGTCTGCTTCTCTTTATCTCTCTTAATTGGTTCCTGAGTTATTTGCGATCAAAAACTGAAAAAATTATGCGAAAGATCATTGGAATAGTTCTCGTAAATCAATATCCAGTTGATTCAGGTAGGTACTAGATCGAGCCATTCATATTGGAGGTACCGCAAGGCAAGAAAATCAGATGAAAAATTGCTATTTTTTTCCTATAAAAGGTAGAGAGCTGTGCTTCTACTCCGCACTAGGGAATCCCTCAGGGACCCTGTATACCAAATTTGAAGGCCCTACGACAAAGTTGATTTTTGGGTCTGAAAAAGAAACAAGGTTAACCCCTTTGAACGTTTTTTCATCCTACTCGAGACGTCAGAATATGCTGAAAACTTGTATACAGGGTGTTTTCGATGCGGTGAACAAGAATCGGAGGTCTGCTCGCCCTCTTTATCTCTCTTGGTTCCTGAGTTATTTGCGATCAAAAATGTGCGAAAGATCGTTGGAATGATGGCCAAGATTCAATTTCGTTCCGCCAAAAATTCAGTACTTCTCGTAATTCAATATCCAGTTGATTCAGGTAGGTACTAGATCGAGCTATTTATATTGAAGGTACCGCAAGGCAAGGAAATCAGGTGAAAAATAACTACTTTTTCTCTATGAAAGCTAGAGAGCTGTGCTTCTACTCCGCACTATGGCATCCCTTAAGGACCCTGTATACCAAATTTGAAGGCCCTACGACAAAGTTGATTTTTGGGTCTGAAAAAGAAACAAGGTTAACCCCTTATTTGAACTTTTTTCATCCCACTCGAGACGTCAGAATATGCTGAAAACTTGTATAGAGGGTGTTTTCGATGCAGTGAACAAGAATCGGAGGTCTGCTTCTCTTTATCTCTCTCTTGGTTCCTGAGTTATTTGCGAT